ATCGCTTCCGTCTGAAGTTCGGGTTGACAGACGCTCGTTTTGGCACGTCAAAATTCATCGTTCACGTCCACGATACGCGCGCGACGATCACACGGCGAATCTCAATGTACGGTGTTCGGAATTTTGAATTGACTGTTTAAGTTTCACGTCGAGATTCGAATATTCGAATCTCGTTTGCCGCCGCTGATCTTTCCAACGGCTACCCGCCAATGGAGAATCAGTATCTAATGCAATATCAGCGCAGCGACGGCAGGGGGAGAACCGCGGGAGCTATCACTCCCTCTCGAATCCCGAGTCCAACCTGGACCTCGGCTCCCCATTGAGAACCTTAGTTTCGCCTTAAGGAATTTTCGGCCGACCTCAGGTATTGAACCTGAGGCCCCCAGGTCGATGGCGGCGTTGCCAACGACGCTGAGCATCCAGCCACCAAGCGCGAAGTGCCTTCCACCTAGCGCATATTAGTCAATGGATCCCTAAAGAGGCTGATTTGGTCATTACTCTTTTGATACTGCTGGAACGATCCAAGACCCGCGGCCCCAAACCCCAACCGCCGTTAGGGACCTCATTGATTTGCGTAGCTGAGTTATACCAGCTCCCAATCTCATCGCCTTTCTGTTTAGGTTCAGAGAGAATCTTCCTGATCGCGCGCCCCAAGCACTACAGGGATGATAGTGGACTTGACGTGGTTTGCCGACCAACGCGTCATATGTTCACTTTTGAGAGTTGATTGATGACTGATTCCACCGTACTTGGGCTCTGGCTCGAGTCCGACAACTTCGTTAACAGCTTTTGACAGAGTCAGTTTGAAAAAAAAACATCTCAAAACTAATTCAGTCCATTTTATATGCACTCGCTGCTTCAGCGGCCGCGGCAGCAGCTGCGAATCAGGTGCTTGCCCAGTGACCGGTTGGTAATAAACAATCAGGTGTTTCCTGACCACGGCTGAATCGGAGCTTGTAAAAGTAGCTGACGACAGCGGTTTCGCGATGAAAATGTCCGCGTTATCCCCAGGAAAATGTGGATGTCTTCTTGTCGCTACTATAGCCGTTGATACTCCTCCTCGGGTATGATTGAAGCGATGGCTCCCTGTGGCGAAACCTGTACCTCTTCGACGACGATTTCTGAATGGACCGGTAGGAAGTCCCGATCGATTATTAGCATAGGAATCAGCGACGGCTCTCGGCTCAACAGCGAGCTGCCGCGGCCGCATCTATGACGTCTGTTACAATACGACGATGCTGGAGAGTATGGGAGGACGAATTTGGAACGCCTGAGCAGCTTAGAATCGCCCGATTAGGACGATCCATGATTTGGAGGCGGGGGTGGGGTACTCCCGGCGAAGGCTAGAAGAAAGGCAGTGCGTTCGTCATGCTTGGATGGATTCAAAAACTCATTAGTGACAGATCGACATGAGCCTGACTTACCGCGATGGGGGAGGGGGACCAACGCGATGGACCCTATCACGGCCAGCACGCAGACCGTGCACCCGCCAATCATACAGAGCTGAAATGGAGGAAAAATGAATAAATTCGGTGGCCCCTTCCGGAAAGATTCAAGGTCATTTTATCGCTGCCGAAAAATCCTCTATCGGAGTGATTCTGTAGATGTTGCTGATATGTACACGTGAGTTCTATTTTCCTGACAGCTATTCCTCACCGCTCTATATGTCCGCCATTTCTGGACTATACTCCCGACCGCTATACTTGACCGGCGCATCTCATGGCAACTCGATATACATAGACTCATTGGCTAGGCCCGCCTTGAGGTCGACGCCTCCTTCTGATTTCGAGGCCTAAACTCGAATAACCGCCGCTCTGAGAACGAAAGAGCCCTAGAATTCCTTCAGAGGACCGTGCGAGGCTTGCGGCAGCGTAAGTGAACTCTCGGAAGGGGTCCGTCTCTTCCGGTCGTGAAAACATTAAGAACTCACCGGCGAGCTGTACTTCTTCAAGCGGCGTCCCACGGTTTCCTGTCGCTCCACCGGACCTACCCAAAAGAAAGTTTCAATCACACAGTTTGAGAATTGATTAGTCGCGAATATTTAGACATGATACCCGGCTTTATACAGTCATGTATTCAATGCCCGGCGCGGCGCCGTGAATCGGAACTCACGTTCGCTCAAAAAGTTCCTGGCGTAGTAGACGCGTTCCCCCCATCCGGCCGGAGGCGGCCTGAAGCTTCCGTCTGTGAAATCGATCACGACCTCCTCATTCGGAGCTTCTCGTTGGTCATCGAGGTACACGAGGCCCGTCGCTCCAGGGAAGGCTTGAATGATTCTATGCTCCGGCAATGTCTGGTCGTCATTTGCGGGGACCTGACACACTATCGGAGTTTTATCCCACGCTACTTGAACGAAATTTAGCGCCCTGGCAGATCTGTATTCCAGTTCCATTTCGGTCGAGAAGATGTGATATCTACACACGCTCGATCTGATGTGTTCCGCAGGGAGTGTTTCGATTCGGACACGGTCAACTCGATGCCGGACAACTCGACGCCAACTTTTTCGGGCTGAACCACACAGCCAAGGCTTAACGTCCCGGGTACTGTTATTCACATTGCTTCCGAGGACGGATCCATAGAGCAAATGTACCCAGGAGGATCAAGGCCGAGTACCTGCATATTTTTCCGGCAGCAGGGATCGATCCCACACCGCCTCCCGCGCGAGCGGCGTCGTTGCGGCTATGCACGTTTGCTCGAGAAATGAGAAACGCGCTAACCACTCGCCAACCCGTCGGTATAGTGACAGCGGGTCTACCTGCGAGATTCCTCACCGTCCTTGAAACAGGACTTCGCGCGCATTAGAATAAGGCATAAGACTCTGTTGGGGAGGAGCAATCACCTCGATAATTACGTCCGCTTCAGCTGCTGCGGGAGGCGCGATATTTCTAACGCCGGCGCAGGTGAGACTAAGCCTGGGCCTGGACTCAGGCGAGAACGATGAATGGATGAGATATCGAGACAACCCCCCCAAAGGAATCTGATGTTTTTAAAGAACTTGCGGTACTTCTAACTAGATCTATAAGTTCCCGGAATCGCGGAAATTCACTTATTACTATTCACTTATTCACGTAGGGTCCGGAACCGATTCATCGCGCTCGGAGTCAAAACTAAAAGAAAGGAACATGGCCTGTCGTTTGTGTGTCATCATCCCATGTTCCTTCCCGTCATCCCGTGCGAATTCATCGCGATTCCGTGTTTCTCCCCGTTATCCCGTGCGATTTCATCGTGATTCCGTGTTTCTCCCCGTTATCCCGGGCGATCTCATCGTTATCCCGTTCGAGTTCATCGTGATTCCGTGTTTCTCCCCGTTATCCCGGGAGATCTCATCATTATCCCTTGGGAATTCATCGTGATTCCGTGTTTCTCCCCGTTATCCCGGGCGATCTCATCGTGACGGGGATGCTTCGTGATACTGCGTAATCCCGTGTGATCCGACATGTCTGAAAATCCGAGCCGAAAAATGTGGAAGGGACCGCCCGATCACTGTCAAATATTCAGCAAAGATCATTAGTCCCATCGTGTACCCTCCTCCACCATGGTGAGCTTCTATTTTTGTGGAATTTCACGCCGCGTTAAACTTAGCATACGTACAATTGTACGCTATCCTCAGCATACGTGCGAGCGGACAAAAGTACGCCGTACAAAGCGTACAGGTGTACAAACCGAATGTATGAGTGTGAGGAGCACCGCGGCAGTAAACATAAACAGCGGGTGACCGGGAGGCCTTTAGGGTTTTCTTCCGAGGAGTCCACTCCCCATCCGGCACGAGCAAATCACAATTCAATCGGCTCTCCCAATCAGAGATCATGACCATTGTATCGCCCTCCGTGTCCGCGAATGGGATCGAAATCACTCATCCTCAATGTTCCAGTCACCGGATCACTAAGATGGGGTCGACGGGAGCGCCCGCTCCCGCTAAGAACCGAAGAGAGATCATCGGGATCATACTGTTCACTCTCCCTTCGTTCAGCTCCTCATTTTGCTAAAAATTATCCCTTATTCCTTTCGTTGAGGATTTCCGTGAAATCTCATGCATAGTGTCGGGCGGTATCCTGATCTATCAAACGACCTCGGGAAAAAAACGGCGAACAGTCCTACTGGCTGAATTTTGGCTGTATTCAAGGAAGAAAAACGGAAGAGAGTGTTTATTTTGATGCTGTTGAGACCCGACGGACGCGGCGAACGAACGAGAGACGGTCAGACTGGCTGGCTCTCGCTCGCCCATCGTCATACGACCGCCGCTGCCGCCGCAACCGCTATCGCCAGAGAGCACCATCCCTACGACGGGCGCAGGCGCATATAACAGCGCAGTCGTTCCGTCGGTGAGCTGAGCACAAAAACGACGGGCCAAACAATTCAAGAACCCAGCCCGCAAGACAACCAGAGGACGGATAGAGAGCCGAGGGAGTGACCGAACGGAATTATTTAGCTGAACCCTGAGAGTTCTTCCGACGGCAGAATCAGCGGCACTCGGCCAGCCAAGCAGCGACCGCCGATCAGCTGCTTGGTCGTGGGGCTAGAGCCAGCAGCTCGACAGCTCTAGAGGTTGGTGTTCAGATAAGTTCGCGCCTGCTTGTGCAACCAGCTGTGATATGTGAGGGAAGTCGCATGTGGGTCTTCAAGGAAGGAAAGAGGGCGCGACGATTCTTGGTCGGACCGGAGGTGGTTCCCTCCGGACCTGCGCCGGAAGTCAGTCTGAGACATCGTTTCATCTTTACCAAGCGCCCCCGGACCGGAATCTCTGGTGCGGATTTTAAGATCGACTCCTTCCGACCTCCACCTAATCATCAGAAGCTGTTGTCGAGTTCTGGCTCGTCCGTGAGATGTCATATGTTTCCGCCGCGAACCTTGCGCTCTCGAGAGGAGAAGTAGGTTTGCTCTGAGCTCTTTCGTATCAATACCGAATTGCTCTCGCTGGGCTGCTGTTAGCCAGACCGAAAGCCTGTCTCGTGTTTTTTTTTCACAAGTTTTCGGTTGTTGATGTCAAGACAGACTCACCGGGTGTATTATGACTCTGAATGCGGTTCGCCGGCTCAGACAATATATTATGTTCTTTATTCTGACGACACACGCGGCCGGCATTGACGGAAATCCGCATAGAATCAACAAGTCCGCGAATGGTCACGGCCCGATTCGGTATTCGTTGGAAAGATTATTCCGAGCTCATCCGGAGCTTTAATTGTACCCCGATGTCGTTTTCTTATAACCTTGGGTACGCAGTACGTACAACAAGAATTTTCGCTCAGCTTTTTGATTCCGGTTTCAAGAACGGGTCCGAGAATTTCGCACGGCATTCAAGGCGGAAATACTGGGCATTACCAAGCTCCAACCGACCCACTATGGGAGGTTCGCCCCCCGTCATCGAGAATAGTCACAGGTTGTGGCGCGACCGTACGAGACGTCCAGCTCAATGCATAGGTCGAGCTCCGGAAAAATTACCGGGTACATCTCTCCTCTGATGTAATGGTGACCTTCAGGCTCATTGAGCCTCCACTGATACGGCCCATAATGGATCGAGATACTTCACTCGGGTCGAGTTTTCAAAGCACTGTGGCGCTCGATGCATGGGAACATCACTGATCATTTGATCATCCACGGGGGGAATCTTATTCACGATTTTCACCGCTTGTTCTCCTCCTCTTGTAGGAACATAATGTCCCTCGATTCCGGGCAAGAACGCGATGCCTTCTTCCTCGCAGACGAGAATGCTGACGACGCATGCTGGCTCAATACAGAGGACATCGGCACGGGGGGTCTCGGTTTCTACCGTGTCAATTCCAAGGATCTCGTCATCTACGAGGACAAGAAGAAAGCCAAAATCATCGGCAATAGGTGAGGACTCGGCATAGGAATCTCGAATGCACGGTTCCCGTCCGGAAGCGTAAGAGCTCCGACAGAAAGTGAGGTGTCTAGCCCTCGCTTAAAGAATGCCGGCTTAGAGTCGGCGCCGCCGTACCCGCATTCTGATTGTATACCGACAGCGGATAATCCATTTCCGTTCGCGAAAAAAGTTCGCCCCTGAAAGCTGATGAGCTGGAGAGCCGTTCAGAGCCGAACAAGGTCACGAATGAGTAGCTGTACTAGCTTGTGGCTTTGAAAAGGGCAGGGCAATCATCGATCAGAATTGTGAATTGAAATTGAGTTCTGCTGTCACCGAAGTCACTCTTCACTCCCCGACGATTTCAGATATTTGATGGGCAGTCTGCTGGGCGAAGGAAGCTACGGAAAAGTGAAAGAAGTCCTCGACCTCCACACATTGACTCGACGAGCCGTGAAGATCGTTGCGCGAAAGAAGCTCCGTAAGATACCTAACGGCGAACAGAATGTCAAAAGGTGGGTAGTAAATGGTTCGGGATCTTTCACGATCAGCTCGGCTAAACTTGATGATGAAAATAATCCGCTCTGCAATAATGATCCACTCATCAGCTGTACGCTTATTTTTTTGCAGTGAAATGAAGATTTTGAGCAGATTGAATCATCAGAATGTGATCAAGTTATTGGATGTACATAGAGACGAGGAAAAGCAGAAGACCTATATGATCTTCGAATACGCCGTCGTGGTCATGCAAGAACTGCTGAGGAGAGCCCCGGGTAACCGCTTCCCCACGTCACAAGCACATTGTTATTTCACGCAGCTCTGTCGCGGACTTGAACACATTCATTCCCAGGTGATTTACCTTGTTCCGAACCCGCGAATCCCCACCATCTGATGGAAATCTCGGATTGGATAAGATGTCGCCAATCCAATACCGTGGGAAACATAATAAGTAGAGGGTGGCTTGGTCTCATTGCAGGGGATAATCCACAAAGACATCAAAGCGGACAACCTGCTGCTCACCACTGATGGCACCGTCAAAATTGCGGACCTTGGAGTCGCAGAGCAGCTCGATCGATTCGCTGAAGAAGACACGTGTCATACCAGTCAAGGGTCACCAGCTGTACAGAGTCCAGAGATCGCCAATGGCTGTGACACCTTTCATGGCTACAAGCTCGATATCTGGTCAAGTGGGGTCACTCTCTTCAATATCACGACGGGGAAATACCCGTTCGAGGGTGACACCATCTACAAATTGTTCAATGCCATCGGTAACTGTGAGGTCTTGTGGCCCATTTCCATAGAAGTCCAACTCCTGAGCCTGCTGAAGGGGATGTTACACAAGGATCCCGAGTGTCGTTTCACCCTCGAAGAAGTCTTCAAGCATCCGTAAGTGAACTCTCCCCGCAATCCTCCTCGATTGTGTTCGCGAACGAGCGCTCAAGAAACATAAACGACAAATTTTTGTCTCGTAGGTGGATGCTCCGTAAGCCCGCAATCAGTGAAGATTGGGTTCCCATCCCCGTTACCGAAGAGGACCCCTATTGCCAGATGTCGGTCATGTCAGTTTTAGACGATATGCATTCATCTATCGAAGGCTCGCACGAGAGCGTGAGATCAGCCCGCTTCGAGAATCAGGATAGTGCAGAGAATTCTGCTGAGCCGAAGCTCCGGAAGAACCTGTCGCAAATGTGCAGGATGTCATAAGAGAGAACCAGCTTCCTATCTCAATTCTTCGAGCTGATCGCAATGACGACAGGTTGTAGTTCTGTGGTAAACTGTACGCGGGAAAGGGCGTAGAGATGTTTTGGTCTTGTCAACACCAGTGAGTCGATCTAACGATTGCCATACTGTTGGAAATAATAATCAATATTATCGATGATGAGCTGCTGATATATTAATATCGGGTTTTTTTTCGGCGATCATCGTCAGGGTTTCGAGTCGCGATCGCTCCCAAACACGGTTACATTGTGGAGGGATCGAGCGAGAGACAAGTCTGAAAAAGCGGAAAGCGATGCGAACTGATATACGTTGATGGCGAAAAGTGAATGTATATACGAATGTGAATATGTGTGGAAGAAACATCTACATCGACAGAGACATGCGTGGGATATTCGGCGCGACCACGCTTGCGTACTATAAATAGAATTATACAAAATAAACGTGCCTTTGGTTCTCGTGTTTTTCTACTATGATGTGTTCTCCTTGAATTTTAGAGAATATTTCCTGAGAGAATTCGCAATCATGTCGATCGGATGTCTCCAATGAGTACGGAAGAGGATCGGTATCGGAAAAGTATAAACACACATTTATTATTTCCGGTCGCAGTCCTGAGCTTCTGATGCGTCCCGAACAATTTTGTCCGCTGGGGAATTCCACTGATCGAGCATCGGATCGGACGCAGCACTGCTTTTTGGACACCAACAATTTCCTTCCGGCTTGTCATTCTCAGTATATGTACAGATCTCGTAGAGGAGAAAAACTGCTCCGGCTCATCAATTTACATAGATCAGAGTTTTACGCATCGATAAAATGGAATGGGAACATGTTGTCCTCCTTTCAGCGAATGGTAAATCGAGTCTTCCCAGTGAATCAATGGATTTGTAAGCAGCAAAATGAGATTCTTAGCCTTGTCCTGTCAGAAACAAAGACATCGATGGAATGATATGGATGCTTAACGAGGCATCGGGAATAAAACATCACCTGATCGGTAATCGACACAATAAATAGCTCTCTCATCCGTCCAAGAAGAACACTGCTGTGCTTTGAAGTTTTCTACGAGGGTAAATAAAATTTGATGATTCCGTCAGGCACCCTTGCTTTCTCTGCTCATCACTGTTTACTTCCGAAGGGGTCAGGTGAACGGTGGTGGGAGCTCCGCAGACCACACCGATGAGCACAGGCTTAGTCGGGGCACTGTCACAAATATTTGTCTTGAGGTGCATTATTGCAGTCAGGAGAAAGATCTGGGCTGAGTCGGGGTTGCCATATCCGTACGGTGGTATCACTGAAATGCATTATTCTTAGGTTATACCTCCCCTCGTTATACCTCAGTCTAGGAGCTCTAGCAAAAAACTCGAATGGAATGCACGAAATCGAAACGTTTGTCACGCTGAAGATGACAGTCCGGCCTGGAGCCGGAAGCTTCAGTCGAAATGATAGCAGCAGAATAAGTCGATGAACAATTGTTCACTGGACTCAAAAAGAACGACGAGGAACAGCAGGATGGTGCGGGTCATAGGGCGCATTCAGGCGCGTCGGGAGCCGAGAGAAACTTAATAGAAGGAGCTTGATGATCGTCAATCGACCACCAGAGCATGCGGAGTCGAAATTTCACGGTCGGAGAGGTTCCGACTACCTTCACGGCAGTGTAGGATGAGGTCATCGAGACGCCGGCGAGAGAGGTTGACGACGATGTCCAGTCCGCCGTCGTCGTCAAGCAACCGGCATTGTTGCCAGATTCCTGTTGATTCCTCTGCCAAATTTTCACGTCGCATCCACTGAGCAGCGAAAAGGACACAAATCCCCACCAAGTTATTCCCGCTCATGATTTGGAACCTGACAGAAACTCAAAAACCCTGAAGAGTCCTGCGGATACGTCCGCCCCCTCTAATTCATCCTCCGTCTCTATCCCGAGAACGAAAGACGACCGACTTACTTTGAGGCAGTGAAAACGCATTCCCCATTTGTTGCGATGGCGTTGATAGGCGTCGTGTGAGCTTTGAGCTCTCCGATGTTCTGCATGGTGTCGGTGTTCCATATTTTCAAGAGTCCCCCACGACAGCTCGTCAGGAGTTGACTCGAGCTCCCCACCGGGCTCGCCAAGGTCGCGATAGCGGTGATCCAGTCTTTGTGAGCTTGGTTTATGCTTTGAACGAGACAGCCGTTCTGGAGGTCCCATTTTTTCAGACACATGTCCCGCGATCCCGAATAGAGGTAGTCATTGAACATGGCGAGGGACGAGATTCCATCGTAATGAGGGGGCTCGAGGTTCATTTTTGGTTGGATCACTCCGTTCGGCTTCTCAATCGTTTCGAACACCTTCACGTAATGGTCTTTGGAGCCCGTCGCGATGTAATTCGTATCGAGAGCTACGTCGTCCACGGCCAGACACATGACTTGAGCGGTGTGCCCACCTGTCAGAAGACGGAAGCGTGTCAAAACATGAATAGATCCCCCAATTCCCAAAGGAATCCTCGAGAGCTCCAGGGTTAGGAAATGGGCACCCGCTGGCGCTCGAGCTCCGGGCTCAAATCTTATTGGAGAATGCCGCCCTCGCGGGGCCGCCGATCCACTCACCGACAAGCTTGCCAATCGTGGCGAATCGTCTCAGGTCCCACGTCTTCACGGTGGAGCCGGATGCTGCGAAAAGGATGTTCCCGAAATGGTTGAGTTCGACGGCGTTGATACGCTGCTCGCCGACAGGGACCCGACTGTCTCGCTCGGAAGACGGGAGACTACCCATGGTACTTCCGGAAGATCTGCAAGGAAGAGAACATCCAGTGAATATCGTTACCGATCCGGGGGAATGGTTCTCCATACCGGTTCGTATCGTGTTTGACTTACGATAGGGTTTTCACGCATTTTGCAGGGCTTTCTCGTAGATCCCAGATCCTGACGTAGGCCGTCGAGGCCGAGAAAGCGAGTCGCGAGTATTCCGAGTACCGAACAACCTGAACATTATCGGGGTGGCCCCTCACGGTCTGAATTTCCTGGCCCGTTCGGAGATCCCAGACCTTGACCGTGCGATCTGGAAGCAAGATGATCTCGATGATCAGCTGGCAGGTTTTCCGAGGGAAAAATTGAATGGAGAATCTGTTTTTTTCTCTTTTCCTCTTTTCTTTGCAGCACATATAGTAGAGCTGACCTTTGCTGGCGCTGAATAGGACGTCGTTAGTGACCGCCAGCGATAAGACAGCCTTGTTGTGACCTTCGGCAGTATGCGTACAGATGAAAGGGGAACTTTTGGTTGGGGCTCGTCCGGTGAAAATGGAAATGACGCCTCGTTCTTTCTGAGGGGGAGTCGATGTTTGACAGCCCGCCAGCCTCGTGAACACATTGGCATCGGTGGATCTGAACATTTTTCGGGACACCGAAGGTGAGGCGGGTGGGGTTTGATCACAGATGGAATCACTCATACTGAAAAGGTCATCAAAGCGAGGTCCGATTAGCAATGAGCGAGGTCCTCAGCTCTCCCCTGACTCTCGGATTAGATAGGAGTGAAACGGTAAGTGACATCGAACACTACACGATTATCGTGAGCCGCTGTAAGCTTTGCCGCGTGAGTGGAACTTTCTACGATGAGCAACTTTACGCACTGCCGACCGCTGTTGAGATCATTTTGAAGAGGATGAACTTTTGCGCTTCCCGCGCTCGCGAGAGCGTGATTGAAACGTCGACGCTGGGTGAGGGGCGTTGCATATGCAGGCAGCGGGTCCCGTTTGCGGGGAAGACCGGTGGGTGTGTGATCGATCAGAGGGTGATGCCTCTCCAGAAGTTTCGTGGAGCCCGTGGAAAGAGGACCCTTCGCCACGAGCGCGTCCCTACGGCAGCAAGCGAAGAAGCAAGCGTTTTAGCGGTTTACCAACACATTTGCGACACTCCCGCTCAGCATGTTACAGCAGCATCGTCCACGTCAAGGGATAGGAAGGAACACCGAGATACGATGGAAGGCACGAGAGGAAACGCGAGAGAAAAAGAGACTCTGGAGAGACACGCCGAGATATCGACCCGAGCCCGCAGCTTCCCAGTCACAGCGCTGAGAGCTAGCTTCCAGCGTCGCCGTTCTCGAGCCGGATCGACTCACCGATAAGAAGTGAAACTGCGGCTCATGATGTCTCTGGGCGCTAGTCGAGGAATGTGGGACTGGACAGGCGGAACGAGGGGGACCGCGGGGTTCAGCAGCGGGAATTGGGAGGGCTCTGTCTCATCCATCAGGGGGATACTGTCCGAGCGGGGTATGGTGGAATCCCCCGGGCTGAAGAGAAGGTCTGCACAGGTGGGCGTTCGACGCCGCGCCTGCAGAAGAAATCGGGGAAATTTTAATTAATAGCACTCAACCCTCTGGAAATGGTTCAGATTGGTTCCTAGGCGTTCTGATGAGATAGGTATCGAGGACGAAGTGTCAGTTTTTATTGTTGAGAGCTCACCTTCAGCCTTCCGCGTTCACCAGGTACGATGTAGGTGGCGCTGGAGATGTCGGAGCGGATCCTATATAGAAATCGAATGTCGTCAAATAAATAAAAAACTTTTACGAAACAATTCAACTGACCAACCAACCAACGATCGAAACACTGAACTCAAAACTCTGACGATATCATGGACCTGATTCCGTAGCGCGTAACGTGTGAACCGACTGGCTCAAAATGCAGATGAAAAATGTGTTTATGGTTTCTCTCCCTTCGCAGCTCTTTTTCCGCATAGTTTCTAGAGGCAACGCAAATTCGAGGAACAATGGAGAGGTAGCACCGAGGAGTGAGGGCTCATGCTTTGCACGAAATTCAACTCAAAGGTCAAAAACCGAAGCCATTCCGCGTGCGGCGCGTTCGCGAAGTCTGCCGAACATACCGACAATGATTCGTCTCTCAGTCAGCCCGACAGTCAATGAATGAATCAATCAATCAGACAATCAATCGATCAGTCGGCATGATTGCTCTCAAGGAGGGAAAGGCTCATCGTCTTTGTGATGATGGTAATGATGATGGTGATGGATTTGTTTGGAGGACATCAGGTACAGGATCAATAACGACGCGTGGTAGACGACTTTTACTATCGCCATCAGCACACCAACCGTAACTGCCAAGACAGTTAGCATCGCTCCCAGACTAGATTTGGTCGTTCGTCATTTTTGAGTTTCGATGATCGAATGCGGTGGAGGTTCACAACCATCGACCGGAATGGTAACCAAGGACAGAAACCAAGGACCAAGTTTCGGGATGGAAGGAAAGAAGAGGGGAAGAGAGATAGAACAAAATATTAGAGATTCATCCAAAATTTCGCGAGGGTTCGGTTCCGTCGTCACGGCCGTCGACCAACGCGTTCAGCTATCGACAGGTCAGTGTCTGATCTCCCCCTGGATTACCCTGTTCGCCTGGATCCGCTCTTCGAGGAGAAGAGTGTTCCCGCGGGGAATTCACCGCGAAACCGAATACTCCATCGATACCCCATCCCTCAACAAGTAAACCCTGACTCAGGTGCTCTCTGAGGGGCTCCGACATAGCTCGCATCCTAGGTTTCGAGGAACCTCGGCTCTATGCATCCGACGAGTTTTCAGGAGAAAATAGAAATAAGAATCCGACTCGGAGCGATTCTCTGAGGAACTCACGATTCTGCAGGCGATACCGATCGCGAGCTGGCTTGACTCTCCTGACCTCCCTGCAGCTCGAGACCCTCCATCACGGCGCTCAAGGCCTTGTCGGGAGTCTCGATGGTCATCTGCAGCAGGCGTTCCGCTTGCGAGTAGTTGTTCTCCACCTGTTCGAGCCTCGCCTCGATTTCTTTACATTCCGCGGTTTTCTGCGCCGCCTGCATGCTCTGGTTCCGGGAAAGAAAAAAACGAGTTGAGGGTCGGACTCCGGATCTCTCACTTCCGGCAACGGCTCAGAAACCCGCGGAAAAAGCGGCGAATTCATGAATGAGTGCATTGAGTTGAGTACTGGTCAGCAAACCTGGTTAACGGTCATGGCGAGGAGCTTTTCTATGAGGAACTTGGCGTCCGAAGAGACTGTACTCAGTCCGGTGATCAGTTCGTTGACATCGACCAACTGTTGGTCTGGAACTTCTTTGTTCTCCTCAATCTGACAGATGTTGGTTTGGCATTCCATGATATTGTCCTGCAGATAGCCGATATTGCTGTTCAGGTTGTCGATCTCGTCGTCCAGATCCCTCAAGACCAAGTCGTCTTTCCCTTGACTTATCGCCTTGTCCCGTTTGCGGAGAGTTTTGTCGAGAACTCTTTCGAGCTTCTCTCGCTCGAGCAGATAGCGTTCCATGTCGCGCTCGATGTTGTGAATCGTCTGCTTGTTGAGGACCATCTTGTCGATATTTTTCACTAAAGTCTTCCATCGGTCTTTCACTATACGGGTGAGAACCCCCTGCGGTTTTCCACGCGAAGGTCGTGTTCCATTGACTTTGTTCGCGGCCTGTCTTCGCAGAGCAATGACTTCCTCTTGTTTGCGTTTGAGTACGTTCTCCTTCGCCCGATTCTCGGCTTCGAGGTTTTTGATTCGGTTCTCACTCTGTCGAGCCTCTCGTTTCAAGGAACTCAATTCCTTAGCGCACTTCAGCTCTTGCTCCTTGTGTCGTTTACCTAAGGATCGAATGGTTTCATTAGGGACCCAACAGTTCCGGAATGGCTTATCGTGCGGGGGTTTCTTTCAGAGCAACTCTGACCTTCAACCCTGAAACTGCCTGATTGCTGCTCTCACATATTGAGGGGAATTTACCTTCTTCGCGGATCTTTCTCATTAGCTCCGTCTTTGTCTTCTTGAGCTCTTCCAGCTGCTGGCGGTATTCTTTGATGACCTTCTCCTGCTTCTCCTGTTCTTTCACAAGCTGCGCGTGGCGACGCTTGGCGTCCTGCATTTGTTTGAGTTCTGCCTGGAGACTCTGGAGTTTCTTCTCGAATTCATCTTTGACTTTCTTTGCTTCTTCGACCTCCGCTTGCGATTGATTTTTGGAAGCTGCAAACGAGAAGCAAGACATCGATTCATTTTGACCGTGCGCCCTCTATATTCGCTCAAGGAATGGATCGCGAGACTACGCATGGCTTCTGACACTTACACATCGCGTTGAGCACCTTGTCTCTCTCCATTTCGGTTTGTTTGATTTTAATTTGCAGCTGGAGTAACTTCTCTTCGTAGTGACTCCGCATCGAGCACATCCTCCGTTGGGATTTCTCCAGTTCTTCGATCAGCCGTTCCTGAATTGAGGAGTACAACCCCAAATAATTAATAATCAGCTCCGGATTCCATAGATTGCTTTCGAAAATTCCCGCATGTCCCGTTGACGATTCGCTCCTCTCCAGTCTGCGACCCCCTCCCGACTGCCCGACCCCCTCCGAACGGCAGGACGATCATAGCTGGGGAACGCTTAAAGCGGAAGCATTCTCGGCTCACCAACTCTGAAGCTCACAACAGAGAGGTCAGAGTTGGCGAAAAGTTCAGATTCGTAATCTCGAGGGTGAGAACGACAGATCGAGAGCTTCTCCCTCCTCATGAAAGTAGGGGGAATAATGGCTCATAGGGGGAATGTCATACATTACCATGTTCAACAACTTTGGATAGGCCTTAAAGGGGAAATTCGGAGCTCTCCTCGGAACGACGATCAGGCATATCGGAATCTTGAGCAGCTATCTGACATCCAACCACTGATCGAGATAACGTTCAAACATCGTACCTTGATTGAGATTTCCTGCGTCAGACCGGCCATCTCGGCCGAATATTCGCGCAGTTGGTCTTCTACGTCGTCTTCACTGAAGTCTTCATCACTGAGTTCCGAGTCCTCGGCGCTGCCCCCACTGACCTGAGCACCATTGGACTTGAGTGACGTATCTTCATCGCCATCGGATTTGACACCGTTCTCATCCTTGTCTCTGGAATTCATGAAAGAAACACGATCTGAATATGTGCCCAATCGGTAAAAGCTCAAGTTTGGAGGATTCATCATTCATTCAGTGAAAGAGATTTTTAAAAACACGCGAGGAAATGATCAGTCCAGCGACCCCGGAAATCGACACGGCGCTCGATACGAGAGACGATGAACCACGCAATCTATATACGCGTACACAGACGACTTGAAATCGCATGGATTATATACATCTATCCGTTCTTGAAAAAGCGTACCGTGGGCCATCGTTCTTCGACTTCTTCTTCTGTCGTTTAATCTCCTTTCTCGCCTGATGTATGAGCTCTTCTACACAGATTTCCCCGGAGACAGATTCACTCTCAAGCACCGATGCCGCCATTGAGCCGGCCATTGAAAGATTCAGAGCAGTCCCCACCCCGGAGACTTTTCGTCGGAGTCCCCCCGAAGACTTCTGCAGCTGAGAACACATTTCCTCTGACTCGATCAGCTTCGTCCTGGAAGAAGATTCGGATGAATAATTGGTGCTTGAGCCAGCGCAGGAGTCCCACGATGAGAGGATCCTCGTTCAATGTTCCGGGAAACTTACTTCAACTCCTCAATCTCGTTGATGTACTGCGATTGGAGTTCGACCATGCTGCGTCCCTCGCTACCTTCATCCATGGAGATCCAATTGTGAGCGGCTTTCTCGTTCAGGAGCTCAGCGTTCCGCATTTTCAAACGATCTACCGTCTCCTTCAAGGCCTGGAATTTTTAGAATCACAGTGTTTACGGATTCGAGTTTCGAGTCTGATGCCGAAATGGAGGAAAATCCTGCACGCCCGGTCTCCACACCACGAGCTCTTCAGATGCCCGACTCACTAACCTTGAGTCGCGTCCTGAGATTCTGATTCTCGGCCAAGAGGATTTGATTCTCCTGATACATATCGTTTGTCTGATAAGTGCCGTCCTCGCTAACGATGCGTTTACCCTACAACCGACGCGAGGTTATAGAGGGAATCTCCCGGCAATGCCGCCCCTAGTCATGGTCAGAGAAGATCTGAGAGGATTTTGGACGAACATCATCCCTACCTGTTTGTACTCCATGAGTTCGAGCTGCAATGCTTCGATCTCTCTTCTGAGGGCCATGATAGTTTGAGAGCTTTTATCCTGGTTGATGCAAACTCTGTTTTTAATGTTTTTCGCTCGGTTTGCGTATTTCAGAGTGTTCAAGGTCTCCATGAAGTCTCGATCGGCGGGGGAAACGCAAGCGATCATCAGGGTTCGACTATTACCTGGAAACAAGATTTGACTTTGCCTCCTGCTCGAAAAAGATCCCGAGCCGCGCAACCATGGAATACTGACTGGTGCGGGGGAGCTCCTGGAGGAATACCGAGGGCAATGTCTATGTTTCGACAGGTGAATGTGGGCAGTCTTCAGTCAATCATCATATGCAGAAATCGAGCGGACACTCACCCCCCAAAGAGTCCTGCAGCAGTCGAGTAAGTTTCGAATCTCTGTACGGCACATGAGTGGCTTTTTTCGTAACATCACCCAATGCTGATATCACATTGCCAAGAGCGAGCTGCAAAGCAGTTCATCTATCAGAAAACGCAGGAACGTCATCCGGGACTCTGTCAAACCTCAACACCGATGATGATGAATGATAGCGATTCGCTAATTGACGCTAACAACACGCAGTCGTGATCTTCAGACAAGATGATGCCTAGTTCCGCCGGCGGAACGGCCTTCTCGACGCTCATTAGAATGAAGGTGTGAAACACGATCGAAAGCCGTGAATAATCACTCCGGAACCGAGCCACCCATCAACTTACTAATCCGCAATTGATCTTGATCCCTTCCTTGGCGCGTACGCCAGTAGCACCAGTCCTTTTGATTCTCTCTGAGCCTGCGAGATCCACGAAATGGAACTTGGCCGTCAGCGTTTCCATATCGTTCTCTTCGCCTTCGCCCTCACTACCGCCTGTGAAACGAATAAGCGCTCTAGTGATCTCGGATGTTCGCATGAAGCGAAAATGTACGGGGGAGAAATAATCGGACAGCTGCTAGGACCCTCACCTGTTAGGAACCTTTGTTGTCTAATGTGCAATGTGAAGATGGCGTGACTCCGACTACTTTGGGAATTCATATTGGTGCTCGCAGTGGTCCTCGAGATCGCCCCGTGGTGGAGACACTGCATCACTTCCTCGGCGGTTTGCACCGTCCGCACGGTGATTCCTTGCACGACGATCTGTCCGCATTCTTCAACGATTTTGGTGTTGCGTCGATTCTCTTGATTGGATTTTTCTGGATTCAGAAGATCAATCACATCCTCATTGTACAGCTCCATGAACTGTACGGCGACTTGGAATTTCGGTGGGGGAATGCCTTTTTCTTTTGTCTCGCGCTGCACTTCCTGGATGCCTCGGAAGAGATGCTCGACGGCGCGGGGTATCACCCCTCGATCGGTTGGTTGCAGACTAATCGCCATATCGAACCCGGTGCCCATGGTGTAAGTTTTACCGGATCCGGTTTGGCCGTACGCCAGGACCGTGGCATTGTATCCGGACAAGCATCTACAACGAGATTGAGCACACGAACTTTTAAAAACAGTTTGCAATCCATTTTTCCCATCAGTGGGTAATCGCACGCCTTGGTAGTACCTCCACCCCGAGCGGGGGAGGCAGAGCCCGCCGGGTTCAAGACTCACCCGTCGACGAGATCCCTGACACTCGTGGTGTAAACGTTGTCTTGGTTGGTGGTCACGTCGAAGACGTTGTCGAAGGTAAAGGCTTTCTCTTTGCCTAGCACCACCATCGGCTCGCCGGGCGGCACCCGAGTGCAGTTGTGACACATCTCTGAGAGTTCCCGGTGTACGAGTGGCCGTATTCTGGAAGGAATCATTAATTTCTAATTATTCACATTGTTTGGACTGAAACGACGCGATCTCCGTAGAATAAACTATTTTCTGCGATTCTCGCGTGAAAGCTCTGGACCATCGTCTTTGCCGTTTCAATATCTGACGCAACGTTGGTAGGTCTGGGCTTGGGCCGACTCGTTCCTCCACTAATCGCCGTCCCGGTGCATATCAGGGACCGGCATTTAGCTGCAGACCTAAATTCGGCCCGCCCAGACTGTGGATGTGCTTAAATTTGTACTCCCACCCCACCATCCTCAAGCTCACACCGCCGCCACCATGGTAGCCAAGCTCCGAACGCTTGGTCTAAAGAGCGAATATGTTTCGTTCGGAGCGTTGTGGGTGTCGGAGGGTCAGTCACGACTCTGTTCCATTCAACTGGAGCCGGCCAGAAGTTGTCTCACCGACAGCGAATCGCTTTCGTTCATCAGCGATCCTCCTCCCCCTCATTTTTTGCTGAAAACTCTTTGTCCCCGAGCTGCTGAGGAATTCGTTGTCAAGCTCGGTGGTCCATCTTTCCTCAGATGTTCTTTTCCTTTGGTTCTGGTCCAGTCACAGGAGTGACACTGACAAAAACGACAGTGATCATTGATCATTGTCGACTTCAGAAACGTCATTGAGAAAGTTTCCAGTCCGAAGGGACATATGCGCACGGTCGGGCCGTTGGCTTCGTTCTCTCCGATTTGAGCCCGATGCTGAGTACGCGAGCCTTCGGACGAAATACCGCAAATGAGTTCGGAATGGAAAGGAAATTATCAAGCAAGTCAAGAGTTCAGGATCCTCCTCTTGGAGTATATCTCGGATGAATTGCAAGGTCTGCACGTGAATCATCGTTCCCAAGATTTCGTGAGGAACTTCCTCCGACTCTCCTTCAACGAAACAGATAAATGTAGCCTAACGACATGCTGGCACAAAAGTCCGGCGGAAAAACTCCACCCACGATCATACAGCGGTTCCGACCGGAACACGTTATTCAGAAGACCGAATTCTCGTTGCGTGGTCAGCTGGAATGCGACGCCATGCCACCGCTGGGATCGACGGCGATACGGAATTGTCAACGTTGCTGTTCCCGCCCGATGACCTTGCTACGCGTTTCGTCCCATCTGAGCGAGGAGAACTTCTTATCCAGTTACTCAAGGATTCATGTTTCCGGATCGATTATGAATGATTCTTCCCTCAATCCCATATCGAGACAAAAGAAACCAAATCACAGCGCTCTACGGTTGTGTCAGCTCATTCTCCACCTAGGATGGATTTCTCGAGACTTGACCTTCGATTGACGAGGAACGTTTGGGAAAAACGAAAAATAGACTCCAAGGAAAAACTTGATTGACGGCATCGAGAGGTCTACGACGACCGCCAGATAATCATTGAGGCAGTCGCTCGGTTCCGCAACATTGTTCTTCCCGTCATATCTGAGTCTCGATGAAGCTCGATGAAGACTTGAACCACGCCTACGGAAACACCATAGACGATCGGCGTGTCGCACAGCGCATCAGACACGGAGAAACAGAAAAAGAAACCACCAGTGTTTTGAAAGCTCTTGCAGGATTGCCTTGACGCATTTTTATTCACTGAATCGACGCGACGCATAGATATGTTGGACGGAAACAAGACACACACGAGAGACTCTATTATTATCGATTTCGATCTGAGGTCCCGCTCTCCCGCGTACGATCGTTTCCGATGACCTGCTTTTTAAGCGGAGTCTCCAAGTACCGGCTCGAGCTTTTATCCGGCCGAGCCTCCGATATCGCAGCTTGAAAAAAACGACTTCCCGTTGGGACATAAATTCGACTGAATGAACAATTACGTTACGTCGTCGTCAGAGCTATACGACGGAAGTAATAATTATTCGCATTCTGTACGAAACTCGTGGCTCCAGGCTCCGATGTTGCGAAACCGGCAATGACAGCACCGCTCTGTTCCACTTCGGAGCGTGCAATCGACGTACACATGTGTACGTTACGGTGTTGAGCGACGACCGCAGTCGTAGGCCCTCGGCCGACCATCTCTCCGACTTAACGCGTGCTTTGCTGGTTGGCGGGCTGTTTGGCAAGCTGCTGGTTGGCTGACTGGCTCCTCCCCACTTCGAATCCGCCTCTGCATCCGCAGCATTGTACATACAAAATGCCGACGGACAAACGTTCGACCTTCTCTTGAAGCGAGCGATTGCCGCGAACGGAAATTGATGACAAAGCGTGTTATGGGATTTCCATCCGACCGGCGACAGTAAGCTCGACAACTGCACGATATCGCCCCCATTCCTCTCGGTTCACTGATTGTCGATTCAATCAAATGAAAATCAAATGAACGAAAAATCGAATAAGTTCCGAGGCTCAAACCGCATCTGACGGTTACGGCGGAATCCCAAAGACGGAGAATCCAAGCGTGATGTGAAGTCTTCCACGGAAGAGTTGGATGGACGGGATCCTTTTCTCGACGCATCTACCCGGCGAATGACAGGACAGCTCGACAATTTAATGAAACGATCTATCGGAGTGAATCAAGGGTGTCCCTTAGCGAACGAAGTTCACCAATAGGGCGCTTGCCGTGATCGGTGAGTGGGCGTTGATCTGTTAGCGTACAACGTACAACTACATGATTTGGCGGACGAGGGGCACGCACGGCGTCCGGACCTTTCCACGGGGCAGACAGGGACGGATCTCTGCAGATCAAGATGTCTGCATAGGTAGTATCGGGTCGGAGAATCCGACGACTGAAAGCGATACTCAAACCGCTCAAGGTTGGAGAATAGCTCGGAGGTTGGGCTGGAGCTCTGAATGTGCCCCCGATCGTGTTTTTCAGAGCGGACACATCGCCTCCGGCAAAGCGGCGCATAAATACGTACATATATCAACTCGGACGCGCTGGACCGACTCGCAGACTCTGCACACGAGCGTGGTCCGTCCCACGACCAGCTGCTTACGGCGACTGCCCATCACGGTGAATACAACGTTTATAATCAATCGACCGAGTTCAATTACGGAACTTCCCTAATCTTGTCATGAGCCGAAGTACGCGCGATTAAGCGAATCGACTTCGACGGAGTTACGTCGTCGTCGAGCCCACGCCGATCATTTCTGTGTAACAATGTGTTTCCGTATACAGACGCCTCCCTCGAATTGAGCGACGAATGTTTCGAACAGAAGCAGCGGGGAGTCTCTCGGTGAAGAATTCCGTTATCGTATTTAAGACTATGGCTTGCAGTGCGAACACGAATGAGCCGAAGTGGTTTCCTGCACGCACATCCGTCAAATCACTTCCACGGCGAGTTTGACTGACGTCACGTTGTATCGAATTCTAACGGACGCTCTGAAGGTCGAGCGCTGCATACAAGCTCGGAGTCGGCCTGGCTGGAGGACAGCGGCTGGCCTACCCTAAGTCTTGCTGATAACGCGCCGCACGAAACAATCCGTTAGAGGGAAGGGAGAGAAATTCGGTGCTTGCTGAGAAGAAAATCTTCTCATCTTGACTCGGGTCGTTCGACAGGTGTTCGTGCTTCCGACTGGCGAGAGTAGTTCACCGCTTCTCGAGCCGTTCGAGGGAATATTCCTCATTATAGATTCTGCTCATCTGCACCTGATGTATTCTCAAGCAAGCAAACTACATCCGTGCCCTTCCGCTTTCGGATGACGGTATTCCACGTGGGCAGGTCACACCCGAGTTTCCGACTTCGCGACGCTCCGCTCCAGCGTATTCGTTTCCTCTATTCTTGTCTCGAGGAAGTTCTGGCACGGCGGATTCCATCGGAACAGAATCAGACCTCCCACGAACTCGCTGGAAAAATTGGGATACACGATTCCCCTACGCAAATATTACTCATGAGCTCAGATGACGCAACGCTTGAGGGACAGATCGCGTCGGGGAGGGAAAAATCCGGTTATTGCCAATCGCCGCCCGAGGAATAGCTTCATGAGGTAGCTGGAGAGAAAACCTAGAACGCTGGACCTGTGTTTCATCATGCCAGATAGCGTAACACGAGGCACAGTTTGAAACAAATCTGGTAGGAGAATCAAGCTGAAGAAACGCATCCGTCAGAGATTCGAGACGAAGTCGGTAAGCGAAACGACAGAAGCCTCCGTGACATGCGAATTCGTTACGCGCCGACCAAAGGCCGCGAGATGAAATTTCCGCCAGATTCGCTTCTTCGTTCCCAAGGATGAAGCAAACTTCAAAGAAATCGTCTTCGGACAATCCATCCTCGAAGTCCATCCCCTCCAGCTTATCGTGGAGCGGCTGATACCAGCGATGGAGTCGCGAAAAACCACCGAAGGTGGCGCAACAACGAGCCTAACTAACAAGGAGATTGCAATCAGGATCTGATCGGAGATACTACACTGTCAGCAGATTAGGGCGTTGAGCCATCTGCAGGGCTCCAGTGGGCTGCATTAAGCTCGAGCGATGGCCGCCCCTCCAAATCGATCAATGATTTGTTAGGAGAAAAGTAGGGATCGACTGGGCTTTAACGCCTGTGGATAACCCGGATCCGTATTCATGAGCCGAAGGTTCTAGGGATTCCGCCGATAATACTCCAGAGAAAGGATCGGGATCCCGACACTGAACGCGAGTGTCCCTACGAGTCGCCATTCTAAGCCGCGCGGACAGATACAAGACCCCGAGCCGAGGCTAAAGGAGGGCATCGATCGAGAGGAGCTGCGGGTCTTGCCAACGACAGAGCTACAGCCCAGAGCGGGCCATCCATCCATCCACCAATCGGAAACGCATACGATCCGAGACTGGCGGGACAGGAATTCACTCTAATCTACAGATGCCTCGACCATCAATTTGGAACGATTCCACTGAAACTTTTCATCTTGCTTTAGATACGACTGAGCAGCGAAGCTTTCAATTGAAACGGAGCGTTTACACCATTGTTTACATTGAAGCGCGGTCAAACCCGCCGACTTTGATCGCTTCTAGATTCTAGCTCCAGAATTACGCATTCAGAGTGATTACATATCCGGACTGTCGGACTCAGCACTAACTGCCTAATGGCCCGACAAACATGGGATGACCACGTAAGTCGACTGATTATTTGGTTCGATTTTGTGTGATGATCGCGCGCAGTGGGACTACCGGGCTTATCCGCTGATTTGCCAATGTTCGTTCTTTCTGGCTCGTTCCTCGAGCTATACCCCCGTTCTCGCAGTTGCGCTGCTCGCTCGATTCTCTATGTTTAGATGAAAGTCAACCCGGACCAGATGGAGTCAGAGGGATCGGGCTTCGCCGACGAAGATAGCAGCCACAACACCGACCGCGAAACAGAAAACCCATCTGTCACCGAACAAGACCTGGCTTGAACTCGCGGATACACGGCAGACGGCCGACTAGGTGGATCGAACATGGAACATCGACAGGTCGGGTCAACCGGCTCGTGCGCGGGTATGACTCACTACGAAAGACCTTCGGTCTTCTGAAGGCTACGCGATAACTTCAGAAGTTCTGGTGGATGCGTAATTATACGCAATATGAAGGAGGGAAGTTCTCGGCGCTTGCGTCGAGTGAAAAGTCACTGATCGCGGATCGGAGTCGCTCATTTCGCGGGCGACTGAAAAGTTCTGCTTACGGTTGCATTCCTTCCGCAGGTTCAATGACAAAGGAAAGCTCACTCAGCAGAACAGGAATAGAATTTTCTCTGAACGAGAGCTGACTGGATTAGTTAGTCTCGAAACTAGGAGCGTTCTCCTTCTGTTGTTCATCGCCCCTCGTCGGAGCTCTTGAGGTCGATAACCATGGGGCACGGATATCGCGAACGGCATCGTAATTTCGACGGCATTAGCGCCAACGATCGACTGTCCTGAACACTGGGCCTGTCGTGCATGATGGACAGCAACCTCCGCTACAACGTCGGAATCCGCGAGGGAAATTCCATCCCTGATTTCGTACTTCTCTGGGACTCACTATAATACAATCCACATATGTGATTTTTTTTTCTGAAATCTGACTGGAGAAAGCTTCCCGAGCGAAACAGCTGCGCAGGGCAGACCGCCGCTCATCCGGGAGAGATGATTAGGAGCCGAATGCGGAATCAGGTGAATTGTACGGATCGTGTCGTCCGCGGATTGTGCCGGCTGGATCGCTCAACTAAAAGCTCAGAGCTGGAAGCGACCGCTGGCATGGTTTGGGAGGACTGAAAGGGATATATGATGCTTTGGGAAACTCGCAAGGGAGCTTCCTCTCTCGATGGCGGCGAAGTCCAGAGCTGTCGCGTTCCGTTTCATCGTTTCCGATGAACGACGTAGACGGTGCTCCTCAAATTGTACCCGGCGGTGTTTTCGTTCCATCCCGTAGAATAATAAAGCGGCGTGATGCAGCGCCTCTTTGATTGAACTGCGCCATTAAAAGCAACGAATGCCGCCAAGCGTGAACCAGTGGGACGGTGACGTCGAATGAAATTTCGGAAGACCACGACCAGACTGACGCGTAGATCCGCTACGTGGGAAAAAGGCTCACCCACATCGCAGCCTCGAAGGTTCTCGGCCTCGGAGCCAAAGTAAATGAACGGGCCTGGAGACCGGCACGGGAAAGGTGGGGATACTCGCGATATGGATGACCACGGTTCCACGGAAGCGTGTGTATTGACAGACGTACTTAAACGCAGGAGTTAGTCGATCTCCGGGACGTGGGCGGACGCATCTCTATCAGGCGGAAAATCAGTTCGGGGCATGGTAACGAACTTAGTGATATACGATCCAGGGAAGTCGCCTGCAGTATTTTTTCCACTGAGATAGCCCCTCTCCAAGAAGAAGGCGATGGAGAGGGAGGGCGACTCTCCACAGGTGCCTGTGACACTGTTGCTGCTGCTGCCTGCAGACAGCCGAACTTTCGACCATGGTAAGTAGGTTTGATCGAATCACTCATCGACCGAGCGTGTCCTACGGTCCCAGAAATCAGAGAGTCTGCTCCTGAACGACATCCCGGGTGTCGATTTCGGAGAGGGAAATTCTGCGAGAATTCTCCGAAAAGAGTCGCTCGATTTGCTTCAGGAGACGAATGACGTAGGCTTCTACGGCTTTCACCGAGATCCTCCTCCGTCAAATTACGTCTCTTCTTCTGCGGAACATTGATTCCGAGTCACTGGTCGTCGCCCAGAGCTACACCGATCAGATTCTGCGTATTTCCCGTGTGCGAAGACGCCGGGGACACTCATACAGATTTTCGTTTTATTGCTTCCCGTATACCCCGAAAGGGTCGCGCATCGCTCCACATACGGAGTGGAGGTAGAAGAGAATCGGCTGAAAATAGTAGACTGGATCTTCATCGCGAATTATAGTCTCACCGAATAATGACCCGAATTCTGGAGCTGTCAGGGCGTATTCGGACCGAATTTCATGAGGAAAGTAGACGACAGACAAAGACTATCATCCCGTAGATCGGAACGGGCACGAGATAAGGTATTGCTGTGAGCACGGTCCCGACAAGCAGAATGATCCATGGACGAGTTATTCATTAATTGTGTCTCCGATCGTGATGGACGTCTCTCGATTGACAGAGCGCATTCTTAGGGCTGCTTGTCGACTCCGGAACGCATTTGTCTTCATTTCGATAGCATAACGTTCGGCGACATTCGCGCCCGCCTCACCGGCGGGAAGCCTTCCGATCCCGCTCTCCGCACCTCCACCGGCCTAGACGTGGGCCGACAATCCGGTAGGGGCTGAATTAATTTATGGCGATCCGTTTTCTATAGGACGCACTCAAGGGAGATCAGAGGGATAGCTGCCTGAAGAGCCTCTGCGCCAAAGGATGGACTCTCGTCGAGGGACGCGACGCCATCTACAAAGAGATTAAGTTCGCTGATTTCAACGAAGCATTCTCATTTATGCAAAGCGTGGCTCTTCTCGCTGAGAAAATGGATCATCATCCTGAATGGTTCAACGTCTACAACAAAGTAGGTTCCGACTTTGACACTAGCCGGATGAGCAAGGAAAGCTGGGTATGGCTACAGTCTATCGATATGAAAGTCTCTCAGGTCCGAAAAAGTTGTTGATCTGGAGATACGAATGAGCTCCGAAAACAATCTCTGAAAGTCCATTATCGGTGTCCCCACAGAATCATCGAGCCTTTGGGATTCGATTATGAAATCCAGAACCGCCGTGTATTTATGAGCCAATTTCTCCATACCGGAACGCCCGCTTGTCACTTGTCAATGGCAGCTATCACGGTCATCTCCTGACAGGCCGATATGAGCCTAGAGCGATGGAAGTTTTTGAGGGCTACGGAGAATCGGGGTTCCTGACCTGAGAGTGTGGAATCAGCTCAGAGTGTACAAGTCGGAAAGCAGAGCTGGATCGAATCTCAACAATGATTCTTCCGCAGGTCCAAATCACTCTGAGCAGCCACGATGTACAAGGACTCTCAAAGCGCGATCTCAGGATGGCGAATTTTATCGACGAATTATTGAAGAAGATCAATCTGCTGTCTCCTTGAGCCAAGCACTGTCCGGTGGTCGAGATTCGTCGCGAGATCTATGTGCTCGTTTGAATTTCTCCACTAACCGCACCGCAGCGAATTCTGCGAGCCCAGACCTTTCACATCTAATGAATAAATAAATCGATGTGAAATAAACTGCCTGCCCCGATTGATTATACTGGTAGCGTATCCGACGTGATTCCTGGTCACAAGTCCCCAGTCATAACTGCTTAGGCAAGCTCGCGTGTCCATACAATCCGATCGGGACAAAGGTGAGCTCAACAAGTCGTGGTCGGCATTCTCGTCTCGTCTTGACAACAATTGCCGCGTTGTACACAATTGCCCCGCAGGATGCCTCCTAGTCACCTGCGAGTGTCTCTCCGCTCTGCACTCATTGTGGTGGCTGGTGACCCTGCTTTCTGAGTCGGGTTAAGAAAACAACACGAACCGCCAACTTTTCCTCTTCAGTCCTGGCCCACTTGACCACCGATGAAAGAGTCGGATTTGTCCGTCATCGTCGACGACGTTCCATCTGTAGGGGGTACGCGGCTCATCCCGGGCATCATATGGGGAGATACTTCCGGATTTTTAAGACGGTCTGGCGAAGTGAGATGCTCTTTTCGCTCCGATCCGACTCGTCGCGTGGTCCGAATGGAGCGAGCTCCGAGGAGCAGTTGTCAGCGTCACCTCCCCCGACCTGGTCATACCTGGCGACGCTGAGAGCTCTGGGCGACGCTCTCAGTTCCCAATCAGTATATCGCAAAACCTAATGAATCGAAGCTGCCGAATCGTGGCTATCCGAGAAAACGGGAGAGTGGTGGTAGTTTCAGGCGACGGGAAGAAGAATCAGAGCTCCAAGTCAAAAGTGGAACGAGTTCAGCGAGATGGATGCTCACCTGACAGCCACCCGCACGCTGCTCTCATCTGCGACCGTCTTCACCATGATGAATTTTAACGTGAATCGAGGTTATCCGAACATAGTGCTTTCTCCGACCACGTCTTTCCGCCTCGAAGTTCAACAAAATAAATATGAACACAACACGTTAACAAGGAACTTTTGAACACCACTGTTCGCTGCTCAGGCCTCTCCGGCCGACTGAATGAGTTGAAGGCAGCTGATTATTACGCTCACTCCTCTCTGCTTGGCTGTTGTTCTGTGACGTCACGATCGTGCGAGGAGACTTATGATTTCGGGGATAGGGAGAAAAATCCTGGATTTGTCACTAGCAGCATTGTGTCCTGGATAACTCTCGAAGTGCGATCCCGGAAATTCTCTCAGAAGTGCGAGGTCGGCGGAAATTCGGTTCCGCGTATTTTCCCAGGGCCGCGTTCTGAGACCGCTTTCGGCGGGGGAAAACGATGTTTATTAGGGGAGGGGGCTCCAGCCAGGACACCGAGATGTACCTGGAAGAAAATTTCTCGATCTCGAAATGATCTCTTTCCTGTGATCGGTCTGGGGCAATCCGGGGAGCGGGACGGATTACTCTCCTCACGAAGGCGCGATTCATGTCGAGCCTGTCTTCTCGCTGCCAGCGGACCAACCGCCGGATCAGCGGCGTCGTCTGCTATTGAGCAGACTCCAGTGAACGCTTATAGGATTCCGGTCTTTTCTGCCATATTGGTTTTGTGGCACGTGTGCCGCTGGCAAAATCGAGGGAAAATGACGTGCAAACGCCGTAATGGAGGACGCTCTAAGCACGGAAGAGGCCACGTGAAGCCCGTGAGGTGCACCAACTGTGCGCGATGCGTGCCTAAAGACAAGGCGATCAAGAAGTTCGTCATAAGGTACGAGTCCTATGAATCGTCGACAGGGGCCGTTCTCGGAGCGTACCTCGCTCTTCGAGCGAGCTGGAAGCATGGGACTTCGATGGGAAATACACTGAGACGTCTGAAACGATCATAAGGATTGGAATTCCGGTTATTCTGACGTCGATTTTGACCAGAAGGAGTCTTCTGCCATGACTACGGCACGTGTGGTCAAGCGGTCCCGCCTGGCTTTAATCTCGCTCTTTGCGACGAGAAAACATGAGATTCATGCATGGAATTGAGCATTCGCGTGAAGTTCTCTTCCTGATAACTTCCCGAGGTCTACTCGGAGGTGTTGGCTCCCAACTGCGGTCGAATCCTAGATACTTTGAGTCAGCTTCTGAAGATAAATCAGTGAATACCGCTCAACCCATCCAGACACGAATCGTGGTCGTGTCTCGAGAAGGCCTGCATTAGCTAATCTCGCGGCGCATCCCTTCCAGGAACATCGTCGAAGCCGCAGCTGTACGAGATATCACCGTCGCCTCCGTTTACGAGAGCTACCCCCTCCCCAAGCTGTACGCTAAGCTTCATTACTGCGTGTCATGCGCCATCCACTCGAAGATTGTGCGTAACCGAAAGAAGTCAGCCCGCAAGGACCGTGACCCACCCCCACGTTTCCCCCGCGCTGCCATGGATGGACCTCGGAACAACCAGAATCGTCCTGGTGGTGCTGGGGCTCCCCAGACTGGCGGAGCTGCCCAGGTTGCGGCCAAGTAAATAAAACCCAGGGGTGTTTCCACGGTACGACCGTTTCGTTAATCGAATGCAATATACCCTCCTGAGCTCCGATCCCGATCGTGTTCAGGAGCCGTGCTCGCATTCGTGGAGAGGATTCTCTTTGCTAGGATATTCAGAGTTCTCCGGAAAGGAAACTACATCTGTTGCGAACGGTTTTGTCATGCCTGAGGTCGAAGAGCCATGATTCCTCTTAGATTGCGAAATTCTAGGCATCGACCTTCCGCAGCCAGGCACATCGGTAGCTGTCAGGGGAGGGAATCATGGAATGAAAACGCGATATCGTTCTTCTAGTTTTATTCCAGCAGATAGCAAATTGAAGTTACACCTGTCGCAAGTAGCGGATTCGACATGGATGCAGAAAACTTCACATCTTGCTCGTAGATCATGAATTCACTACTTCGTAAAGGACAGAAAGTAGTGCAACTGGCTTAACTCATCGTATTGGCTCTTGAAGGATCAATAACATTCGATTCAACGACTTGGAATCTAAATGGACGCCATTGGACCACACGGCTACAGCTACGAGGTCGAAAATATTTCCGAACACGGAGCGGCGAGCTCCGTTGACTTGACTCGTTCCTTTGTCTCGCTGCTCCGGTTCCTTTCATCTTTGACACCCCTCCTCATTAGCTGTCTTGGAACTATTTTGCTGGGGAGAGAACTCTCTTCTCCTTCCTCGTCCCCTCTCCTCCTGTAAGTCCATGCTTCTCGCATCGAAGATCGGCTCGGAAAAATTTACCAAACATTGCAGTGAACAATTTACAAGCATCACAGGTTCAGCGTTGCAACAGATAGCCAATAATTCCACTAACCACGGTGGACTCCCTCAGTAGTGCGGTGAACAACTTCGCCCTCCGTTAGAAGTTTACGCGACCGTATCGTCTGAACGAAACACCATTTGCGGGTTAACGGAACCCTGTGAGCCTTCCCCGCTCTGTCGCCCCTAGTGTTCCCCGAGATCGTGGAACTGCTGATAACGCGAATCTCTAAGTCTTTGAATGAGCAGCGGAACTCCTCTGTTCAGGGCGACTCCGAGCAAGATGAATATCGGGGCGAAAATCCAGAACGCGATTTTCCATCCACTGGAGGTCGCCGGAGCGGGATTTGGTGTGGGTGTTGGCGGCTTGCCATCATTACAAAGGTATTCGTCGGAGCCGTCGCTGCAGCGGATCACACCGTCGCAACGCCACGAGCTCGGCATGCAGAGACGGTCTCTGCGACACATCGAGTTTTCGCCGAATGAACAAGGTGAAACCACGTAGCTGAGGTTCAGGTCGAGGTTTCCCTGATAGACCACGATCAGCTTGTTTGACATCGAGGCGAACAGCCCCCCGGCCGTCAAATTTTCGATGGGCGCAACGAGTTGATTCCTTAGGACGGAATCACCATCCCAGACGAGCAAGTCGGAATGATTGAGCGAAACGTTCGCGGGAAGGGTCACCGTGAGGTTGACGGAGACGCTCTCGTTAAGATTCGAAGGCCTCGGAGGGTTGATGATGTAGACGCAACGGAGAGTCTTGCATTTTTCGCCCGTCTTGAAACTCTTCGAGTTTTCCGTCAGCGTCTGAGAGGATGAGGTCGGACTCAGGTCGATGTGGAATCCGTAACCTCCTTTCGGGTCGCTATCGGCGACGAAATTCGAGTCGAACGTCGTAGTTTTCAAAGAACTGGCCGGAATCAGAATGTCTCCCGGAATATCGGTCCCAGTGAAATTCATCACGGTACCCTTGCTCCCGATAGCCAACACGTGTTTGGGCAGGAGGTCCATGATGCGGAACGTGGCGAGGTAGCTCGTTTCCGCGTCCGGAACGGACACGTTGTACTTGAACAGACCTCCTTGAGGGTAGATCCCCGGATAGAAGGGTGAGGTCAGCGTGAAATTCTTGCCGGCCGCAGCGGTGACAGCCAGATCTCGGTTCATGGCTTTGGCGATGTAGGAGACTTCGAAATCCTTCACGTTGCTGCAGTCGAATTCGATCCAGGCCCCGTCTCGGACTTGGTAGGAGATGTGGAACGGATCGGCGCTGTTTGCGATGCTCACCTTCGCGTCCATGTTCCTGAAATGATGGATGGTGGCGGATGGAACGTTGTTCGGCAAGACCTTCAGAAACAGCTCTGCCAGGTCGGCCGCAACGTTCGGTTTTATGATCCACGTACACATTCCCATGCACGAGCCGATCAGACGCGCGTTGCTCTTCTGAGCCGCGGTGAAAGTCCTGCTACATCCCGAACCCGCGGGTTTGCTGGTGACAGTTACATTGACGTCGGTTGTCGGGAAGCCGGTAGCTTCAACTAGAAGCTCAGAATCCGGAGAACTGAGATCGAAGGGCTGCCTGTTGGCATCGAAGGTCACGAGCTCCATCGAGTCTGCGGAGACTGCGATTTTCTGAGCCCCACTCAGTTTGGTCAAGCTCGAAAAGCTGACGAGGAGATTCTCTGTGACGTCGGTCGTCAGTACGAATTTGCTCGTTTCTCGTAAGGTCATGGTCCCGCTCTTCTCTATGTGACCGCCGCTGCTGATGGGGGTCGCCGAGAAATTGAAACCTTCTTTCCCGTCGAAGTTATTGGAGTTCAGTGAAACCATTAGGTATTTTCCGGAGGAGATGACCGGAGCTGATTTCTGGTTTAACGCTGTGATTTGCAGTAATGGTTTACCCGCGAGGTCACCTGTGGGATCGGAGATGGTCAGAAAATCGAGGAACTTCGAGGAGCCCCTATCACGATATTCGCCAGAGCTCAAATCTGCTGGACCTAGGTATGCACCTGCATCGACAACGGAGAGCAAGTCGTCCACATGTTCGAGAGCGATGTTGGACACTTTGAGCGAAAGTTTCTGGTTCTCTGGGGCCATGATCAGCCACAAGCAGGACAATTGTCCCGCTGCGTCGGCACCTTTCACGGTCACGGTGAAATCGACCTTGTCCGTAGCGATCATGTCACTTCCGCCACAGCGGCCCTTGTCTGTGAAAAGAAGTTCATGAACAGATGTCCGAATGTATTTCACGGAGCGTCCCGGTGAGCGCAAGATATTCGTGAGGGAACAACCGAAGAGGTAAACCTACCGCTCAGGGACTGTCTCGTGAAAGCCACCTCCTGGTTCGAGTCGTTCAGGTCGAGCCGCAACGAGAACGACGCGGACTTCTGAACGATGACCATGTGGTCGGGAGCTTTGTCGACAAATGGACCCTCGAACTTCTTGTCGTCCCTGTGCAGGACAAACCTAGCTTCGGATGTCTTCGCGAGTTGGAACTTAGTAAACTCGATGCTCGCAGCCTCAGTGAAGTCGAAGGTGCATGTCACGTTCACAGGAGCGGCAAGTTTCTGCGTGGAGAAGAGAAATATGAAGTCACACAGAGTGTCCTCAAGTAGAGTCACCCGGGATCGTTCCCTCATCCGGGTGGGTATTCGGTTTTGTCGGGAAGACTTCCTCTGATCGAGAGGTGGTTACCTTATTGGGCAGTTGCGGCGATACGAACGAGGGAACACTGAAGGTTCCACCGCATTTTGGATAAACCGTCAGAGACACTGCGCTCTTCCCATCGCTAGCGAGCCGGATTCGGATTTTTTCATGCCCAGTTACCAGCCAGCGTTTCGCTTCGGGTATACCTTCGTAGATCAACTGAAATATCAGCATTGCCCCAATGAGTTCGAGAGATACGTTCAAGGAAAACGGCCATGATGTACAGCATACAGCATGGAGTCAGGGCAGGAGCTGTTGCGAAATAGAGCGGAATCCCTTGCCTGGTCAGTGACATTGTCAGCGACAGCGTATATCTGGATTGCCTGCAAACTTTTGAGGTTTGTCACAGCGCTGATGTCTAGCGACAAGCCTCCTTGAGTGGTTCCGTTTCCGTCAATCAAGATGTTTCCTTTCTGCCAACCGGGCTGAAAATATTGGAAACGATAAATGTTATCGAGGCGAAGCGCCACGCCGCCAACCCCCCCCCCCTCCCTCCAATAGCATTCATTCGCCCATCGGATGAATTCACTCTAATGAACATTAGAGTGAGCTTGCAATGTAATACAGGCAGCCGGAATATTCAAGAGAGGGAGATCTGCCGTGTGAACTCTTTCGAGGGACCGAGCAGGCCCACCGAAGCGCTGACAAAGTCTGAGTGAGCAGAACCTTCCCCGCAGTATCTGATTGTGAGCTCCAAATGAAGCCAACCAACAGAGGTCTCACCTAGCTCGACACAACGACTAATTGGAATTACTTAGCTAAATACGATGACAGTGCACCAAAAGTTTTCCTCGGCGTTCGAGGATGCTCCAAGCAAGAGCACTCGTGATTCGTGATCGTGCCCCGACGAGAGCAGATTCTGCGTTTACGGGCAACTCGATCTCGGAAAGAACGGAAGGAAGTCTCCGTCACCAGTCCGAATCGACTTCCCCTAGTGTTCCTTTGAGAAGGCTCAGTCAGAGCATACGCGGGCATACCGGGAATATATTGATTCTTGTCGGACACGCTCGCATCGGGGCTCTCTTTCAACAAACATCAACGCCAGTCAGCTCTCCTACCATTCGACGCCAGTCAGTCGAATTGCCTATCGAGATCCTAGCGCGAAAATGAGATCTCGGCATCGACTCATCAGGAAACTTCGAGCTGTCGAAGTCGAGTAGTAAGCACGACGTCAAATCCGATTACAGTAGGAAGTAGCCATACCTATTCGGAAAGACAGTCATCTCCAATAGGTGCGAGTGTCTATCGCTGAGAAGAAAGACTTCGCTCGCAAAGACTTAAACAGTTTCGAGTCCCTCGTTGAGTGCGTCACGGCTCGCCTTGCTACTTTTTTCGGGTGTCGCTTAATTCTTGGAAGGCTTATTGAGGATTATTCAAGTCGCTAGTCTTAACACCAATTCCATATAGGGCAATCGCTGCTGCAAAGGCGAACAATGTCCTGAGCTGTCGATCTGAACAACATACGTTCGCATGATACACCCTACTCGATGACTCATCGGCCGGAGCAGATAAATTTCGTTTACTCGAGAATATTCTTTAGGAACCCGTGATAAGAGTATGCACTGGCTGCCCTTCAACCAAGCGCTTTGACTGCCCCGTTATCCGCGGGAAACCGAATAGAACCGGCTCGATACAGGCGTCTCGTAGGTAGGTAATATTTTGTGGTCGAATTCATTCCGACTCCGAGTAGAGAGCTTTCGACGTCGTATCGATCCGAACCTCTCATCAACTCGTCGTCCAAGGTTTGACTCGGATACACGTGCTTCACATAATATATATGCACTGTATAGTGCACTCTAAGCGACCTCAGACTCATATATCCCGTCCGATACATCCCACAGCGGCGCTCAGAGAAATCGACACTCGCGGCCTTCCATCGTTGTTGATACAGCCACGCGAATGTGGAATTCTCTGTGAACTCCCAGAAGCTCTCTCGGAGTCTGGTCAGCAGTGAAATTCACGGTTGCTTAGGAACAGAACTTGACAACAATAAATCAAATTCTCGAGAGATGGGATAGGTGTCACTTTCCCCCGTCGAACGACTCCCCACGATCGTAGAAATTGTCTGCAGACCGGGTTTCGCCGAGCGCACGGAAAATTTCGCGCGAGCTGTGGTTGCGCACTTCGGGAGCTCCAGTCGATTCGAAAACTATCGATGGCAATGGAATACGTTGCGGGAAGGCCTCAATTGCCATCGACGCTCCCGGGACGGATGAGTCGCGAAGTCATGATCCGTGATTACCCACCTGACAGTTGATATAGACTTGCTGGTCCAGTCCTATTTTGAAGGATTCCTCAGGCACTGTGCAGTTCGCCGTAAATGGATGGGATTTCTTTGCTTTAGCCGCCCCGATGAGGAAGAAAATCAAACAAGCGTGCTTCAGCATCCTCCCTGCCGGTGACGCTATCGCTGTGCTATAACGTCAACGCAGATAACTCCAACTGGTTTCGGCTCTGCTAGCGCAGCCTCTCTCGTGCTGCCAGACGTGCTTCTCTTCCGACCAACAGGCGCGACCGGCTGTCTACAGTAGCGGCAGCGGCGATCGCGGCGGCGGCGAGGTCGTCGTCGTAGGTTGGCTCCTCAAGAGGGCGAGGGAATCCGCCAGAGCAGCGGAGGCGGTAGCGCGCGAATTTCGAAAAAAACAGCGAGGACTCCAGTTTTTCAACATCGGCCATGTTCTAGAGCCTCTCGAACTCATTCACCTCGCACGTAACGGATACGCAATAGCGCCGTCCATATCGAGAGCTCTTCTTGGAGGTCCATCATGATTTCCATGGCCGACAAGGGTGTCCTCGCCGACAGAGAATGACAGCGGCTCAGCGGTCGTGGCGAGAGACGCTCATCGGATGCAGCGCTCGAGCTGTTGTTGATTTGCGTAGCTGCTGGTTGTTGTTGTAGGAATCCGTGAGTTGACGGCGAAACTCGAACGAGTGTGGCATACCTAATTCATGGTGAATTGTAACCCGAACGTGTTCATTTCGTGAAGCGAAACTGTCTCCCCTCGGTGCCCCAACTGCCGTGCCGGGCAGTATGTCGGGTTACATGAATTCGCCCTCGAGGCCATATTCTCCCGGTCCCGCTCAACCCGGCGGTCCCCCGATGGGTTCGCCGATTCGACCGCAGATGATGCAGATGGGAGGACCTCCCCGACCGTATCCAGCTGGCAACTACCCACCCGGACAGGGCTCTTCCCCCCGACCACAGGGCTACCCGCCTCAACGCCCAATGGGGCCGCCTCAGGTCGGCTACGGCAGACCGGTCGGCACCCCGAAGCGACCCGCGGACGCTAGAGGACCCCCGATGTCCAGGCCGGGTGGGCCCAATCAGCCCCCTCAGCAACAGCCCCCGAAGAAGAAGAAGAAACTCGCCGACAAAATCCTGCCGCAACGAGTCCGCGACCTCGTGCCCGAGTCCCAGGCCTATATGGATTTACTGGCGTTCGAACGGAAACTCGACTTCACCATCATGCGCAAGCGTCTCGATATTCAGGAGTCTCTGAAACGACCGATGAAACAGAAGAGAAAACTCCGAATCTTCATCTCGAATACATTCTTCCCTGGTCAGAATGCGAATGAAGCACCGGCGGACGGTGCTCCTCCTCAGGCCGAGACGGTGCCTTCGTGGGAACTGCGTGTCGAAGGACGTCTACTCGAAGACACTAAAGAAGGAGCACCCAAGGGCCCGAAGCGCAAGTTTTCCTCGTTCTTCAAGTCACTCGTTATCGAACTGGACAAGGAGCTCTACGGACCCGATAATCATCTCGTCGAATGGCATCGTACCCCGACAACGAACGAGACCGATGGCTTCCAAGTGAAACGACCCGGCGACCGGAACGTCCGATGTACGATTCTCTTGCTCTTGGACTACCAGCCCCTGCAGTTCAAACTCGATCCTCGTCTCGCCAGGCTGCTTGGCATCCACACCCAAACCCGTCCCGTCATCATTGCCGCGCTCTGGCAGTATGTCAGGACGCATAATCTGCAGGACTCACATGAACGCGAGTTCATCAACTGCGACAAATATTTGGAGCAGATATTCCAGACCACCCGGATGAAATTCGCCGAGATCCCGCAACGGCTGCACCAGCTCCTCCATCCGCCGGATCCCATTGTCATAAACCATTTGATTACGGTCGATGCGCAGGATACGAAGAAAACCGCCTGTTACGATATCGATGTAGAAATCGACGATACCCTCAAAAGCCAAATGAATCAATTTGTTCTGTCAACGTCGAACCAGCAAGAGATCCAACAGCTGGAGCATAAAATCCACGAGACCGTGGAAACGATCAACCAACTGAAGACCCATCGAGAGTTCTTCCTTTCGTTTGCGAAGGAGCCGCAATGCTTCGTGAACAAATGGCTCATATCACAGAGTCGGGACTTGAAAACAATGACCGATGTAGTAGGCAATCCTGAAGAAGAGCGGCGCGCGGACTTCTATCATCAACGATGGGCGAGTGAAGCTGTTTGCAGATATTTCTATGGGAAAGTTCAGCAGAAGAGAGCTGAACTCGAACAGGCTCTCGGCATCCGAACTTAATTATTTCAACAGCGTCACTCCGAGGCCGCCTGAGGTATATCCGAATTCATATGAGCACATTCGCGATTATCTATTGCTAAATAAATATATTGATATTCGCTCGTACTTGTGACTTGGTCGATTCATCTCGACATTTAATCGTCATTTATTAATGATCTCATCTTATCTTTCCGTCGGCAACATTGGTGGAAAAATCGCATTGACAACGAGAGCTGGGGGCTTGCAGGAAGCAATTGAGGGGTCTCTGCCGCGGAGCGAGTCGGTTGGGGTCCAAGCGCTGGGGATCTTTTGAGTCAAAATCGATAATTCGGGCAGCCGTGCTCGTGTGACTGTTGTGGGGTATTCCGGGCCTGTTCGACATGCGGCGATCGGGATATGTGTACAAGAGTGGAATGCGTGGACGGGGAAGATACATCGAGCGCACATTTTTTTCCGAGGCGAAATCGCAGTTTCCGGTTTTTCCAGCCGGGAGACGAAGTTCCTAACGAGGTTCATGAACTTCATAGTTCATCGCTGGTTTTGACCGTCGATCGCGACTCGGCACTGAAGAGTGTATCACAGAAATTTTGTCGCGGATGCCCCGAAACTGTATGAGGGGAATCGTCGAAAATGAAAACCTTTTTGTTCAGCGCATCGAATGCCGGCAGACTGACTCCTCTGAACGACGGCTGTTTCGCAGTCTTCGCGAATTCGACTAGCATTTCGATGGCTGCCATGCTGTAAGAAACATCTTCAGGAGCTAAATCATCGAAACTCTCAAAAAACGACCCCAGCATATGGTAAAATGGTATACCGTGGTACGCGCCGAAAGCCCACGGGTCAGCTCCGACGGTCGACGATACAGTTTTTCGTTCCCAGAAATAATGGTAGACCATGGAGTACTTCGAGTAAACCGCTGCGAACTTGGTCACTGGACAAACGAATAGGCTGTCTCCAATGAAGTCCGCTGTAGCGTTTCGGTACGCAAAGGTATCCATGTCGTCAGAGAGCTCGTAGGCAGACATGATCGAGTCGACTGGAAACTCGGGGACGAAATGCCATTCGCAGATGTTTCTCATCAAACCGAGAGTTTGCTCGAGTGTCGCGAGCTCGGGTAAGGGCTCGTTGACGCGTTCCGTCATGAGGAATGCTCCCTCCTTCGCTGAGTCGCCGATGATGATGGGTACATGATTGAAGTTCTCGGCTGCGGTCGCCAAGAGTTCCTCGAGGGATCCATCACCGATGAATTCATTCGATTGAGTTGGTCGGAAAACATACGTCTGGCTGACCGCGAATTCTTGTTGGAGTTCCAGGAGCAGCGACGCATCGAGATTCTTCAGGCATTCTACGATTTCCTCTACGGTCGAGTTCGAGCACGAGACGCTATTGGCGATCTTCGTAGCTCTCTCGGCAGAGTCTTCGATCGTATCGCCGAGCGCAACGATCCCGGCGTCAAGAACCGCAGCGTGGAAGAGTCCCCTTGAATGGGGCGACATAAGATGCGCTGATATTGAGAACGAGCCAGCGCTGACCCCGATGAGCAGAACTCTTTCCGGATCACCACCGAAATTGCGCACGTTGTCTCTCACCCATTCGAGGACGAGAAGCTGGTCCCAATGTCCTTGATGACCGGGAGCCTCTTCGATACCAAGGTCCAGGAAGCCGAATACACCGAGGCGGTAATTGAAATTTATCACGATGACGTCTCCAAGCGCACTCAAGCTTCCGCCTCGCCAATCATGTTCGCTCCCATCCCCTGCGACGTAACCGCCTCCGTGGAAGACGACCACGACAGCTTTTGAATCTTTCGCTGTCGTTCCCTTGGGTCTCCATAAATTTAGGAAGAGACAGTCCTCACTGAAGTTGAATGTCTCCGTTGTGAACATTCCGAACTCCGCTGTGCACCCCGGTGCATAGCTCGATGCATTCAGGGTCCCCTTCAATTGCAATGGAACCGGCTTCTTGAAGCGGAGTTCACCGATCGGAGGCTCAGCGTAAGGGATACCGAGGAACTCTTCCACTACTGTTTTCGTGTAAGAGAACACGTGGAAATGGCCGAAAACATCTTGATCGTGAAGACGGGAAACTGGTTGATCTCCTACGGCTAGAGCGAGCAAACCGGTGGCTATCAGCATCGTTGGCGGTGGCCTAACGACGCTTAAGACACAACCCAGCCTTCCTAACCGTCGAATTGAAGCATGTGACGGTCGTAAAGAACTAACTTTCCACCTTCTCGACGCAGAAACTCTGGAGAGAGGTCTAGAGGACCCCTCCCCTCTACGTGAACTGGTTTGGAAGTTCTATAAAGACCATCATCGACCTTCCACGATAAGGTATTGTTCGCCCTGAGCTCAGTGTGCCTCAGTCAGACATTTGGCCCATGAGAGTCCGGGGACTGATTTCTCCCCAAGCTCTCCCCCCCCCGGATCAGGATAATCTGCGTTTTGTTGAATATTGTAATATGAGTTGAGCTTCTATTCAGCCTGACATTCTTCCGCCGAGAACGAGAAACGCGTCCGGCGGCGGACATGGCTCCAGGAAGCGGACTAGAAAACCGGACAAGAAGATTTGGGAACATTGGTTCCATTCTGAAATTCTGGCACTTCATCCTCTGGAACGGAGATCCGAATTGAGCTGCATAGAAGTAAACGCTCTCAAGCTCTGCTCAGTAAGACCAGGCCGGCGGTCCGATAATAAATTCTCGTGCATTGAAAACGACTTATCTACCTTAGCATTTGAGAGGAACACAAACCTATCAACTGTGAATCTATCTCCGAAATTCCCGGGGAGCGTTCGAAATCGGGGTTCCTCCCGGAGGTTTCTGTGAGTCTGCCTCGGAACGTCCGCTCGGACCGGACTAGACTGAGCGCGGAACTTCCAGCTGTCTTCCAAGCGGTACATTCGGGATTCAAGCTTACTGAGCGCTCTGGGAATCGTGGCGAATTTCGATATTCGATCGAGCTGGACCGCCAGTTCCGGATCGCTTGTGTTCTGAGTTCTGAAGCGGAGTTTCGACTGGAATATGATAGTTGGGAGGCCCTTGCTTCCCAATAGGCCAGTCTGATCGAAAGATTCTCAGAAATTCCGCTGCTTCCGCAAAAATCCGGCTAAATAGAAGCTCTAATAATGAGCCATCAGAGCTCAGCAGGCTCCATCTTTGCAGGTCGCGCAGAGATCGAGCGATGATCTCCAGCGGATCCCGTCCGGTTTGACCGGATGAACGCCAGCAACGACCGGCTAGCGTGGGCTTCTCTACCTAACGCCGCGCTAAGTTCTAGTCAGAGAAGACGATTCCATTGTTCCACTATCGGGGTCGGCGATATTGGATTGCGGAGCCATTCATGGACTGTGGGAGGAGCTCTATCGATCGATGGAGAAGTGTCATCCGTCCTATATTGAATCAAGGAATTTGCTCAAAACTTGGGGATTTCACGCGCGTCGATCCCATCTGGCATTTTCGAAAAGATTCGGCCTTCATGGTAATTTTCCAATTCCCGTGGTTTCTGCTGAGGGTAACAGTCCAGAACAGGCTTGGGTCTCGAGTTCGCTCGATTGATTCCGAGATTCTGATTCTGCAATCGCACTCCCTCAGAATGGATTTTCCGAGGCGAAGAGCGCTATGATCGGCTCCACGAATCCGCGCGTCGGAGGTCAATTTGATTTCTCTGTAAGCTGGAGTACCGCGAAACTTTGGGGAAATCGAGTGAAACAGCCAGGATATATCGCTCGGATCGTCAGAAAATTCTGACCCGACACGCGAAGTCTGCAACAAAGACCTCTTCCGCTATAGATGACATTTTCGTGATGTCGAGAATCAAAGCGCACTCGGGAAATTATCCTGAGCCACCATACATATATATCATGAACTCTCTGGCAATTCTTTCATTGCGGATAACGTCGGAGCTTCGCTGCAATGAAGCTCGTTTCCATGATCCTGCTCTTGGCGTGTTTGAGTTCCTTGTCCGAGGGTCAAATGTCCAGCAAAGGGGGATTGTTGGGCCATCTGCACGACACATTGTCATCGAGCGGCGCCACTGTTGGTGAGTCCAGACGGTTTCCCCTAATTTCATCCCCGGGTAAATCCGGGAGCCCTGGAGGCTTTGACAGGTACGAGGAGCTTCGGGCTGAAATGAGATACAAGTATGAATGATGTGTGTATTCCAGATAGAGTTCTCAAAGGTGTGAATAATGCCGTCGGAGGTATCAGCGTGCAAAGGGGCATCGGCGGTCTGACTTCGGCTCTCGGAAAATAGACTGCAGAGGCTGCAAAACTTGAGAGAGGTGAAGACTCTGCAATCAATAAAGGTGCCGTTTTCGAGGTTCCATACCTATTTGAGAACTCACTTCGATTCACAACTCTCCATGACCCCCCTGCAGAGAGGAGCTCATGGGTTAAGGCTGGAGGGATAATTTCTTTCTTTATTCGGAAATCGAGGGAAAAATAGTTCACATACATATATCTTTCCATATCGTCGGTATGTTTCCCTGGAAGAGGTCTCGACTCATCTGTCCATGCATGCAGACCAAAGCGAACGACGTGCTCTAGATCTTTTACTTACACGCCACGTTCGACTTTCTCCGTACCGTCATCAAGTTGTCTGCATTCGACTCGGGTCCGCGGAACGGGTGTCTCGCTTATCGAATCCCCGATCAATCATCTGAAGTTGTCCTCAGACAGGTCTGTGATACTTAGCAATCAGATTTCCGAATCTCACTGAATGGCGTGAATGTAGAATCTCGAAACACAGAGCATCCAAATCTGAATCCGATCCTCCAACTGAGTCGATGCTTCCTCTTAGATTGCCATTGTGACATCGCCGCATCATCGTCGATACCCCGCCAGCGATGGAGATTTCAGCGTACCCACTCCCGTATGTTCCGTGCGATTTTTTGGAGACCTCCTATGAGCTCGACAGTTTCGCTGAGCCTGAGGAAGAGAATACGCAGCGAGTGATCTACTTCTTCACACCGAGGCACCACGACGCGGTCAAACCCGCCATAAAGGATGTGGTCAAGGGCCCTGATGCGACCAAAGCCGGCTTCATCTGCTCCTCGGAAGTCGTTTATTCGAATGTGAATAGAGATCCGATCATCGATGTCACTGGGGATATGGCAGCGTACATCCGCTTCTACGACCATCCGCGGATGCAAGTGTATCCTCTCGGGAGTCCCGAAGCCTTGTCGGTGAATCCCGACGACGTGAAGTGCGTCTTCTTGTTCGGCTCCCGACAATGGAACGGTGAACTGCGCGGTCGCTGCGCCGACCTCAGCTTAGGCGTCAGAGTGCATGAGAAGTTTTTCAACAACCTCCTGGACGATAATGAGCTCGTACTGTCGCGATTGAGAAACGTTCCGGTAATCGGAGGTGAGCCCACTCGTCCATCGCTGAGTGTCAGTCCCAGAGGTTTCATCGTGACCGGAGGGAGATTCGAAGTGAGCAGTGTTCACGTCGAAGACGAAAGGAGCGCAGGTCAGAAATTCCATCAGTTGAAAGAAGCTGTTGACGCGTGCGCCAGACGCATGTATCGACCGAAGTCCTTCGGGTTTGTCTTCGGAGCCTTCGGCTCGTTCATGCGACACGAAAGTCATTATATGAGCACAGATATGTGGAGGAAGCTCCAGAACGAGTTTCCTTTTACTCAATTCATCGGTTGCGCCACGGAATGCGTATACACTGATGTTCATACGAAACTCGAAAAAGTAACACTCGTCAGTATCGTCACCATCGACGATTGAGAGCTACAGCTCGAGGAGCTGTTTGTTCTGATTTATCGAATCTACGACCGAGGCAGAGTCGAAATGCGCTCTTATCCATTGGAAGTAGCCAATGGTTATTTCCTGGACCCCGCTGCCTTCATAAAATTTAGTCCGAGAATTTAGGGGCAAGACCTGTCTCTCTAGTACGGGAGGTGAGCCCGAATTGAGGAGGATTGTTTTTTGTATATATACTTTTACAAAGTCGTCTACGCCGATGAGGCGTATTTCATTAAAAACGTCGAAGGTATCAATTCTCTTCGAGGCATATCAGAGCTCTATCCAAATAAAATTGTGAATCGTGGTCGATCGAATATCGCCAATTGTTTCCTTCGGGCGATAGCTGGGACACAAACTTAATCCCAAGGAGATCCATGCTGATCAGCGTGAAACTCCAGAAGGATCACCAGAGGGTGTGATTCACTGGAGGTTTTCGCCTCTTCCGACGGGTTCGCAGAGCGTAATACTCGCTGATTGGATATTCCGGACGGAAGAGCCTCCTCAGGCCCAGCTAAGGGGTGGGAAGGGACCGACAGGTTCTCGTTCCCTTTCCGCAGAACCCGGAAGATTGGGATGAACTGGAATATTCTAGTTTTCGCATTAGGAGCCCGGAAACGCCGTCTCCTAGGAACTGGAGTTCACCTCTGAAATGGAAGACTCGTATCCGGGCCCATGAGCTCACTCAGTAGGGTGTTGCATATCCAGGCTTCTCGATATGGAACTCATTGGGACTCTAACCATGCGCGAGTTTCCGAAGTAGCGAGTGCCGATCTTAGCGTTGGCGTACGGCGTGGCGCTTCCTTCTCCAGCGAATCGTCGATGCTCCGTGAAGCGCCAATGAGCGCCCGATTGGGAGAAAGCGGAACCTCGGGACCAAGTTGCAGAACTCGCTCGAGTCTCACTTGGCCATTCTGAAAGGGCCCTCCGTGACTTCATCATTCAAAGCCGAAACGGAACGAATCTCGTCACCCCCGCAGGGTTGAAGACTTCCTAATGAATTCTCTCATCACATAAGCCGCGAGACGATCAAATTCTTGATGGAATCTGACTTCAAATCCGGGAACGATTGTCCACGGATCTCATACAGCTCGGAATCGCAAAGACTCTGGATCCGTTCATGGTCGCTCGAAATTGGATTATGGCCTCGAAGCACCGAGAGCACTCTATCGCTCGAATCATTCGATCTTCGGGAGACTCCCCAAATATCTATAACAATCATCTCAAGCATTTAGACTTCCAATTCCTGAATCATCTGAATCTTCAAACCCCTAAGTTTTTTTGTATCACGAGTCGAATAGCTCCTCCCATTCAACTGCAAATTGTCTGCGTGATGATCTGGGCGATTCGCTCGGATATCGTGATATTTGCTCCGCGACCTCTATTCAGGCCTACTCCGATCGAATTTTGGCTCTAGTTCGCTATATCAACATCATAGAGCTGCTGCATCTCTCAGTGTCACTAGCAAGAATTTTCTCTGCGGACGCGATTTTCCCGATCCCCGCTGTGGATCCCGATGGTCCGAGTATTCATGGTGCCCACGACGGTCCGAGTATTCACAAGAACCGCCGCTGGCAGTCTGGGCGAACAAGTGAACAGCTGTTTGTCCAGTCTTCGAGCTCCGGAGGGTAAGTGATCGGAAGACGAGCATCAATCGCGACGTGACCGAATCTCACCTCGCCACCCACGCAGTCCTTGATTCCTGCCGAAAGAGGAAACCCTCAGGATTCTCGGACCAAAGTCTCGAGTCCGGAATGACCTAACCCCGATTGAATCTCCGTATCGGACGGGTGCAATTTTTCTGAAGTTTTTGAGAAAGACTACTCCGCGGTGTAGATGCCATCCTGCGAGAGATGGCCATGCAAAGCAACGTAGCCAATCTGAACGTCGATTTCGGGTAGAGCTCATTAGCCGTCACGCGACATGCAGGCAGCTGAGAGGAGGTCCCCTCCGTGAATTTTGGCTCTAATGAGGAATGGATGACGGGTGAAGAGACGGGACGCAAATAATCCGAAATCCCTCGGTACGGCCTTTGTTTGCATGACAAGGAGCACGTCGGGAATCATCATCGGAACCGTCACTATGAAATTGAAAGTTTTAGTCCGTGGAGAGAATTCCACCATGCGGTTTATCGTGGCGCCGTTCCCTGTGCTCCTCCTTTGCGAATCATTCAATGTTCAGAGAGCCGGGAAGTTGTCGGAAGAGCTCGTTGTGGAGAAAGCAGCGTTCGATGCCTTGAATAGAGCAGCTGAAGCTGATTGTGGAGTTCCTCAGAAATTCGAGGGAGTCGCCGATGAGCGATAAGTTCGAACCGCCTCGACTCCGTTTCTCAAGTCCGTAACTGGAGCCGCGGGTGGGATCGACTCATAACTTACGTATTGAAGCTCATGTTTATCCGGGTGTTGACATGAGACATGCATGGAGTCACGCGTGATTGGAGAATGTTCGGTCGCCTTCTGCGGCGAGCCGACGCAAGCTCTTTCCGGCTAGGTGCGTTTGCTCTTCATACAGTGATCGTCATCGCGGCAATCACCGGACTCCTACAATCACCGGAGTTTCAAATGGCGCCATTGGAGGTCTGATGCAGGGCCTGTCCTCCATTCCCGTTCAGGATGCATTGAGGCGAGTCGAAGGAGCCACGGGACTGTGAAAACCTTCTCCTCGATCCACAATGAAAACCTGAGAGTGCATCGGAACAAAAAACTCGTGCGCCTCAGAATACTTTTTCGTTCCGATCCCCTTGGTGCATCTCGTCCGGTGGAAGTAAAGCCCGGGACATCGTGAAAGAGACCGCGCTAGTTTCCTGGAGGAAGGCTTCTTTCCCTTGCTCGGTCACAGCGCACCTGAAGCTGACTATGATAGAGCTTCGCAATGATGAGCGATTTCCGTCTTTTCGTTCGCTCTCAATCCGTGAAACTTCCTTCTCCCTCCGGCGATCTATCTGACCGCCAAAAGCAAAGGTCTGATGCTTAGACATCTGTCTGGTGATTCGTGCTCACTGTGTAGAGCAGAGTCGCCTCCTCACCGAACAAGGCAGACCATCCTTACCACTATTACCGCAGCGCGCGGCGCCGCGCCGTAGTTGCCAGCAGCCATCTTTGTTGTTAGCCGTGTGGAGTTCTTCGAGAGGAACTTTGCTTCTTGCGAGTGTTCTCCGAGGACCCCATACCCTCCCGACGGGAAATGAGGCGTGATTTCGTCAAACTCGAGTTGAACAGGGCCTCGTGGGAGGTTCCCTCTTGTTATGTCAATCTCCAGGCCATCGGGGCTGGGGCGTACGGCCAAGTCTGGTGAGTAGAGTGTCTCAAGGCCGTCAGTTGAACGTTCACACACAAACTCTCGATCGCACACCTTCAATGGCCTTTTTTTTACGTTGGACTTCGCTTGAATGATCGGCTTTCGTCGCGGCACTCGCAAAATGAGTTCCGGTCCCGAGCGGATAGACTGGGACAGGAGTCCCGAGGATTCTCCGCCCGCCTTACCTCGAAGAGCGGAGAGGACTGCAAGGTGACAGGGAAAGTTCCGGAGCGCTTCCGGAGCTCCCGCGGAGGAAAGATTCCGAATCAATATGACGAGCCATGGAAAGACTGAATAAAATGGATATTTTTCGGGCAACGAAGTCTACTCGGCATGGATTCCATGAGATTAAGATATCGAATGGAATCCGTCTCCTCGATCGGCTATCCGTTTTGCTCAGAATTCGGCCGAGCTAAAAGGATGAGAGCTTTCCCTGAGCTGCAACATTATGGCTTGATCAATCGACATTGGGAACCCCTAATCTCCCATATTTCAGTTCGGCTTTCTGCGTGAAACGGAACGAATCCGTCGCTATCAAAAAGCTCTCCAGGCCTTTCCAGAGCGCAGTTCATGCCAAACGCACATACCGGGAAATTTTCCTGCTCCGACACATGCATCATGAAAACGTGAGCTCTGAAAATCCAGCCGAGTACTATTACTGAGCATAATCCCCTCTCCTCAGAGCATGTCCGAGCAAACCGAATCAAGCGATTCACTCAAGGGTCTTTTTTCCCCAGGTTATTGGACTGCTCGACCTCTTCTCACCGGCGACAAACCTAGCTTCATTCCAGGACGTCTATCTCGTCAATCACAAGATGGGGTCAGATCTGAACAACATCATCAAAACTCAGAAACTGCACGAAGAGCACATCCAATTCCTGGTTTATCAGATTCTTCGAGGTCTGAAATATATACATTCGGCAGGAATCATTCACAGGGTATGTTTAGATAGTTGTAGCCACGGCCGGTGAACCCATCACCGCCATCATCATCGCACGATCGGTGTACCTTTGCTTAGAACACGTAACAAGAGACTTCATCAACACTACCACTGTATCTCACTGTCATCGGCCGATTCTGGTGCTAATGTAAACTACGCCACCGCGGCACGTTCCACAATATCATGAGTTCAGGATAATGACATCAGACCCGATTCGCAGGATCTGAAACCCTCGAACATCGCGGTGAACGAAGACTGCGAATTGAAAATCCTCGATTTCGGACTTGCGCGACAGGCCGAGTTCGAAATGACAGGTTACGTCGCCACACGGTGGTACCGGGCGCCGGAAATCATGCTCAACTGGATGAGATATTCACAAACCGGTGAGTCCGGAGCGGATTTCGAAAAATGTGCAAATCTCATCCCTCATATCAGGAATGAAAATTAGTGAAGAATGCATTCTGACCATGATCAGGAGATTTCCCTGACTCATTCTCAAAGGAACTTGATTCCTCCCGCAGTTGACATCTGGTCCGTCGGCTGCATTATGGCGGAGCTCATTACGTCGAAAACTCTGTTTCCAGGGAATAATCGTAAGCAAGCTGATACTGTATGAAAGAAAGCCTGATTCCGAATTAATAATGCTTATCGAATTCGCTAATCGTCGCCCATGCACTGATTTGAATTTATGTCCATTGATTTGCGTGTCGCCGAATACTCTATCGACTTCAAGATACAGACGCATTTTTGAAATCCGAAAGCATGTCGAGATTTTTTGACCGGATCGGCCGATTCCTTTTCCGTGTGACTCATGCGAGAATCGATTCTCTGATTCCTCTGTATACCCGACACTATGACTTGTGTGGCCGACTAACAACTGACAGCATCCGCGTGCTCCCTCTCCAGACATCCACCAGCTCAATGTCATCATCAAGCATCTCGGAACTCCGTCTCAAGAGTTCATAAATCGGATTCAATCTGAGAGCGTAAGTCATCATCTTATCTTCCTGACGCTAAGACCGTTTTCCTCACGACTCGATGTCGCTCCAGAGTGAGATAAACCCGCGGAGAACGCTCCGGACATTGATCACCCATGCGTTGTCTATAGTGATGCGGATCGAGTAGGCTCCGTATGAAGTATTCATTTCTAGTCCACATTCGAGAGAAACACGCTTCTATTGCTGGAGAGCGGGTGAAAGCTCAAGGATATGCGTGAAGCTTGGCGTAGACTATGGGAGGGATGAGTTCCAGGCCCCGAGAGCAAAATCGTTGCGTTGAGTTCGGGCTCCCTTGAAGTTTGCCGTGATTTTCAGTGATTAATTCGCTTGGAGAACGCATTTCGATTTTTCCCTCCCTGCCAGAGTTTCATATGTCTCTCCTCGAACTCGTAGATATCGACCAGCTGACGAAGATCATGCGCATCACTGGAACTCCGGACGAAAGGTTGCTGATGAAAATGCAATCTGAAGAGGTAAAGCTCCACGGGCGAGTTTGATCCTAGTCGCGAGATCTCGAAAGAGCTCTATTTTTCCCCGAAGATGAGTTCTCAAGTCTCTAGCGAGGAGGGAGATTCGTGTCGCGGTTCTTCCTGGGAAATGACGTAATCCAACCTTGTCGAGGTGGCCGAGCCGCGACACCAGAAGAATAGTTCGAATTTTTCATCTGGCTTCCCAGGCACGTCGACGTCGTCTACTTCCCCGAGCTGCCGACCATCGTCGGAGGAGGGAACTGATAGAGTCGAGATCGTGAGCGAGAAGTCCGTTCAAGATCGGACTAAAGTTAAGTTCTCTTTCCAGGCACGCGAATATATCCGTAAACTACCGCAAGTGAAGAAGAAGGACTTTAAGCAATTGTTCAGCGGGTCGAGCCCTGCAGGTGAGTCGAATAGGATGCCATACAGCGGATGGAATCTCCGTCGAAAATGAATCAGAACTCTGTGACTTCCCCGAAGGATAGTCCCACACCGAAGTCTATATCGATCTCGGGCACGAAAAGCGAGAATATTGCAACTAGATCACTTCTCACTGGGAATCGATTCCTTCCCGCAGCGATCGACCTCATGGAAAAAATGCTCGAGCTGGATGCTGACAAAAGACCGACCGCGGCTGAAGCCCTTCAACACCCTTACCTTGATAAGCTCCACGATCCTGAGGACGAACCAACGGCCATACCAGTTGATATGACTTTCGAGGACCAAGACCTCAGCCTCGAACAATGGAGAAGTGAGTATATTCTAAATAGTCGACCTCAACGGCCGTTGAACTCGGAATTCCTCGTGGGATGCTTCCGGATGAGCAGAGCTTGAAAAAAAGCTCTGGTTGCGAGCGAGGGATGATTCTCGAGGATTCCCCACGGTCCCCATCAGCAATCCGGATTCAATTCTCCGATTTTCTCTTCCAAGTGATGTGCTATGAGGAAGTATGCGGATTCGTGCCACATCAACCACCAGTGGAGATTTGACGATTTCAACAGACGGAACTTTGGGAAGTTCCTCCACTGGGAGCAGCAAACTTGCCAGAACTTTGTTGAAAATCGAGTCTGCCGCCAAATAATGTGTAAATCCCAATGAGCAGCAAGATGCTCTGTGTATAGAACGTGAAGAGGACGATTCCGTCCCTGAGGAATCCTCCACGAGCCTGGACTCATTTTCGCGGTCTCGGGGCGCGGAGGAAAGAGGAGGGTGCGAGCTTAGACAAATCGGAAGAATAAATTCCGGTTTCACCGGGAGCCTCGGCTTGGGCGAATTCCTTTAATTCATCATCAAGTATTTACACGGAGGGGCTCATCTGGATTATTAACAAAAAGTACACGAGTGGTCGATCTCATCTTCCCATGACGTGGTCAAAGGCCGATGAGGATCGCTGCCGCCCTTTCGTTTTTTGCTCGAGACAAGCTTCAGGTCTCCATCTCTTGGACTTGGTCTCCTTCGTCGTCTTCATCCTCTTCGACGATGTTTTCATCAACGGCCTTCTGTAGCGGATTAACTTGGTCGTGGTTTCCGTTCGCTTCCTTCGGTTTTGTAGCTGCAGCAGGAAAAAAATCGGAAATAGCACAGTATGAAGCTTCCATTCAACCCACACGCTCATGAGCGAATAGAGAGTCGGGAATGTCAGGCTTTGATATGCACCAACCTTGATCCTGGCCACTTTTCAGGAGCTGAGTGAGTCGTTCCACCTCTTCGAGAGTGGTTGCCTTGGCGAGGGCGTTTTTGAGAGCCTTCTGATCGTCTGTTGTCATTGCGAAGGTGTTCTCCAACTGCGATTCGATGGCATTCCTCTTTAGAATGACGAAAACATACATACAGACATATCGAATTCGAACCCATCTTCGGCGATGGCGATTCGTGAAGATCGCCACAAAATAGCACAGGCATTGCAGCGGACTCACCTTCGCAGGTTCTCCCGGGGTGAAAGTCTTGACTTTTTCAGGCGCCGACTTCTGCCCGATCTCCTTAGCCAAGGCTTCTCCTTTCTTGCCTTTGAAGACTTTCTTGGCTTCCTCCCGCTCCTGAAAAATACGAGTCCATCTTAAGCTGCCGAAACGAAAGGAATCATAATAATAATTCCTACCGCTTGATCGGCAGGATTAGAACACTCAGGGAGCGCAGACTGCTCTGCTAAATCGAGAATCGGAAGCGGAGGGAGTACACGGAGTCTCGACTTCGGATCCCTAAGGTAGACATAGCTGGTTCTGGGGTCGGGATGACATCTTGGTCCCAGGGTCGAAGCGACCTATCGATGATCGAAGGACTCACCGCCATTTTTATGCGCTTGAAATCGAGTATTCTCAGCTGCGGAACTCGGAAGATCACGTAGAGCCGGTAATGTTTCTTGAGGGCGACCGGGTTCTTCAACACCGAGAGAAATCTCAACGTCTTCACTGTCGACAAGGCGTCGAGGTCTCCTAAGTTTCCTACGTTATTGTTTGTCAAAATTAACGTCTCCAGCGAAGGTAGCTGCTCCTCAAGATTATCGGCAATTCGACTGGAATAAAAAATACTCTATGCTAGGAACGAGTATCCGTGGAGGTGTCTCACTGTTCCCCGAATTCGGGAACAAGCCAGCTTCGATCAGTTCAATTGCAGCGCCGGATCCACATCCAAGGAAATGAATGCACGATAAGATGGACACGGCAAAATTAACCCATGAATACCTGATCCTGTTGTTGTTGAGAAGTAAAGATTTGATCCGCTTGAGGTACGGGAACCCTTCCAGTTTCCTTATGTCGTTGTCAGAGAAATCGATTGTGTCAAACTGATCCAAGGTTGCTCCCATGTTCTCGATCTCGGGGATACGGTACCCTGGAACGGAACGCCGTCAAAGACGCATATTTTTCTCCCCCATGGAACGGCTCAGTCGGAGACTTTCATATTGGTTACCCTCATGATACCCCTTAGATTATACGACCGACGACGGCTCATACTCGTGCGTTGTCTGTGATCCGTACGAGATCGTTAATTCGGATTCGAATATTCGAAGTTCGCTCACCTCGAAGATCTAATTGACGTTCTTTTATAGGGTTTATGCTCTGGGGCGCGCCCTGAATGACATCGACGGTTAAGCGGACCATTTTCTATGATTCCCTTACGGTCGCGAAGATGCCGGCACAGCGCAACACAAGTCAGAATGGAACAGACAGCTTCGCACTCGTTATATTTTCTCGTCCGAAATCACCGCTAAGCGTGGCGGGCGCGCAGCGGCCAACCACAACGTATCCACTGTTTATGTTTGGATTATTATTTCCTAGGCCGGAGCAATCGGATGGACGCATTTTCCTGCGCCAGCGTGGTGACGGGCGCACGGGCATTGGCTCTGGGCTATCCTTAGGCGCACGTGCTGGGGTATCCCTTCGCGAGGAGCCGACATACTCGAACCTCTCGTGAATTCCCCCTAGGAAGCCTGAGGACACAGCCGGCCCCGTCTGATTCCCTCCGTGGATATACAGCATTCCATACAGCAATCGATGCGCGACGAATGAAAGAAGCCGCGAGAGATCTCGTGAAGTAAGATTCTGTTCAGCTTCATTAGAGACCGCCTCTCGATCAGTTTCTCCCGTCCACCGACAAAGTATTGAGTGCAGTCACTTTTGCTGGTATGGATACTTTTAATTGGAATCAATCCGATGGGTACCGCGAGTATCGTACGTGCCCGTTTATTGGAGACTGGCCGTCTTTTCGATCTAATCTCCGGAACCAAGCCGTTAATTGCGGAGCGCTCGAACAACAAAATTCATTTCTTCCGAGAATCATAGTTGCAAAAACTTGACTTTGAGCGGAGTGCTCTCCGTTGCCACCACAGCTCGGGGTTCCCAGAATGAGGAAGCTGGAAACCATCTCAATTTAGGTTCCTCTGCGGCACGATTCACAGCGAACATGGGGGCCTTCCCCGTCAGAGAATCGTTCACTCTGGTATGCTACGAGCGAAGGAGACCGAGGACTCGCAGCGACAAGTACTGGGTCTCCGGGCATCGTCTTCATCGACGAGCGCCCTATGCGCGAGACTTCCTCTGTTGTCCGTCCTTCGTTTGAGCTCCTGAGAAAACTCCGATTCCATCTCGACATCGCCCAAGTTGATCAATGGGCCAATTGGACTCTATATATCGTCCGCCGCCATAACCGAGGTAGATATAATCCTTCCCGTCTAAGCACAGACGTATGCACCGTTCAGCCCGACACCAATCAGCCCGACAACAGAATTCTCCTACGCCCCCCGCTGAAGTCGCGGAGGATTGATCAGTAGTCAGAGACAAGGAAAATCGGTGGTCATGACGGCGATCGTACGACTGATCCTCGCTGAAGTCGAGGCATCGCTGAGTAATTCTTCCAGCATTGAACGCGTTTCATCAGAAACTGAAGGATACTTCCTGGATCTACAAGGATGCTTGATGCGGTCGTTTCAGATCTTCGAATCGGGTAACGGATTCCTCTGCTGAGAGTCTCAGAATGAGCGTTATTCTGCAATTGGAATCCTAAGCAACGAATCACGGGTATTGTCGTTGATACGATACGTGGAACGCGACGCTCACAACTTCCATCCGGGCAGATACCTTGAGATAATACGACTGATGCAATATTTTCGAAGATTCATCATCCATACTAACGAACGGCGCTAGTCACGATCATATCGGCCGGCGTGACGAAGTTTTCCTCGAAATGGTAGGACGTGGCTGTGACTGTGACTGACGAAGCGAAGTCACGTCGTCCGTCCGGCGGAGATTCTTGTGTTTCTCACTTAGTCTCCTCTCACCGACTCACTCAGTGAGCATGCCTTCACCTATTCAGAATCCCTCGCCGAGCAAGACTCGTTCGCGGGGAAGCCAATGACCTGTTGAGAGAATACTCGCCGGGATTGTCCCGCTGATTCAGCCGACTTTCTGGGAAAAAATAAGGAGCTCATTCTGATTTCGGGCTAATGGGTATCGAGCTGATGGAACCTGGTGCGTCCATATCACCGGAGAATATTAGAGGGCTGCATAGTGTACGGAAGCGCTACAGAAACGTCCAAGCCGAGGATTCAATGCGCGGTAGCGAGATCTCTGAACATTAGGTCCTTCTCCTTATATTCACCCCATTTTTTGCAAAATCCGCGGAACCTTTGCGTCAGGAGATTTCTTCGAATGCGATCCTCGCGACTTGACAGTTATGCCAGAGGACCTGGGATTGATCCGGAAGGATTGGGTATGATTGAAGGCGGTCCAAGATTGATCCAAAAGAATCCGCCTTCTCCCCCGGATAAGCTCCGATAGAATCCGGCTTCGATCCGTTGAGATCCGGAAGTGATCCGATGAGATTCAAGTTATCTCCGGAGAGATCCTATTGTGATCAGGGCGTGATTCTATTCGCTCAATTACGGCAAGAAGCGAAACTCAGAAATTAGACGAAGGGATGGCCCGGACCTCCAGCAAAGATCATGGACATCATTGTCTACACACTCTCTCGAGCGGCCGATTTCCGCACCACGTGACGTTTAGTGCCACATTCGTACCGTTTTCGAACGCAGTATTCCCTCTTCTCTTGTAGTGATCGTTCTGCTGCGGCTGCTGCTGGTTGCTCTGCTGTTTTGAGAGATTGTCGCAGCCTCTGCTAAAAATTGTACAGGTATGGCCCGACGTAGCTTAAGATGTCAAATCTGGTGGAGATTCGACGACCAGTCGGGATTGCTTCTCGCGTCGAACGGAAGCGCCGAGTGGATCCAGTATAAGTGTCGTGTCATATCGAGGGATATTCTCTGGCCTTGTACTCAAAAGACGGCCTTCTCGCTTCCAGCTACGCATAAAACGCACCCATGAATCCCGGGAAATCCTGACAGCGATGAGTGAGGCAAGGCGAGGTCGGCGACCTCGCATCAATCTGAACAAAGGAAATGAAAACGAGCTCAACGGTAAAGGAGTGGTGATCCTCGCGAAGAAGGAGCCCCGGGTATGTGTTCAAATCTCCGACATGTGCTCAAATTCGAGAGACGTCTCAGGGAGACACATGACGAATAACCGAAGTACTAAAATCGGGTCCTTGCGGTACGATGCTCATCGGGATCATCCTAGGGCTGTCCCATGAAGGCGATCGTCTACGCGAGTTCCCGCCGGAGTTTTCCTTCCTCCTAGGGAGGGGGAGTCGCGCTCGATACATGACAGAATGGAATGATGTAAGAAACCTATGAGTCGATTGATTCAGAACTCTCTGGGTCTTACTCAAAATACCTCCGCTGTCTCATGGTTCCTTCCCAGACGAGTATGCAGACTCCTAGGAGTCTGATCTCATGTCTGGTCGTTTCGCATCTTTGCCCTCGATCGAGTTTGGTCATAGAGTCGTGCTGGTCTCGCGAGAAGAATCGGTGGAGCGCTACTCTGACGAGAGATCGCACGGCCATTCGCTTTTTGGACTCCTATTATCAGAGGAACTGTCTCCGTTAGCATTACCGTCCATCCAGGGGCTAAAGTCGAAAAGTGTCCATGGAATGTTTCTGAGAATCGATACTCGCAAACTGAGCCAGCATATAAATTCGACGGAATACAACGATTGCTCCGATCGGTCATAGCCTGGAGATGAGGTTATCCATAGAGAGATAAGAGCTCATCGTCCCCGTCGCTTCGACGATAGGTCTGAGAGCTTATCAAAATTGGATTTTTTTTTCAATCAGAATTGTTTTCTCTTTGAACTCGCACGATTCCTATTGTGATCCCAGTAGGAGGAGTCCTGCTCAGGCGAGTGAGAATTCTGGGCTTTAGACAAAGATCAAGGGTTTTCCACTGTATGCACCGCCTCGCTTCAGTTTCAAGGAGCCTCGAGTCAGACGGTTATCGCGGCTCGGGCCTGCAGAGTACACTTCCCGCGACCAATAGATATCTAAACTCAGGAATATCCCAAAAGAGAACGTCAGATACTGCTTCCAGGCAGAGTCGATATTGATGACGCCCGTAGTCTCTCGCTGCTCAATTCTGTGTTACCGATACACTGATATCATTTATCTGCTCAATTCTCCAGGAAAAACCGAAAGATGACGAGCGACTGGGATCTCAAGACGATAGTCATCGCCGGGAAGGGACAACTTCACCGTTCCTCCTCAGGAATAATCGGATACGATCGGTGGTTCAGAAGCCTCCGACTATCCAGACGAAGTAAGATGACTCATGAGCAGAATTCCGCCTCGAATCATTAGAAGAATTAATGAATCCTGACCCTCCGGTCCTCGATGGAATGGGGGAGTTCGGGGACCGAGAAGGATCGGCGCTCAAAAATTTCTCGCAATTTCACCGTATCATCCCATCTGCCTTCCCGTCGGGGTAGACATCGCGATCTAGGGAACGACTTCTGGCGCTAAATTTGAGTTTCTCCTTAGGTCGATCGCTGTCAAAGTCGTGGAAAACGCTCTGCGCACGGGGAGCGATGAGCGGGAAAGGCCGACGAGTCTCCGCGGAGGCGACAAGAGTGAAATGACGCAGAGAGCTAAATTTTTGAACAAATTTGGTGAGCTCGAAGATGATTTCCTGCAATTCCTAACGGAGGACGCGACCTTCAAAGTGATCGGCGTCATAGGTTTGTAGCAAAAAAAAGCGGACGGCCGTAGGACGCCCGAATATCATATGGGTTTTCGATTGCTTAACAGTAATAGACGATCACCCCGGAACTCTTTTGTGAGTGTTTTCCCCGTTTCCCAGGTCTGCAGAGCTCGGGCAAATCGCACATCCTGAATACGCTAGCGGGACGTGCGGTTTTCCCGCTGGAAAAGGTTGACGACGCCGAGCAGTGCCGTCATCGGACCGTAGGCGTTGATGCATTTGTGACTTCTGACCGGACAATTCTGCTCGACATGCAGCCTCTGTTGGCGCTCTCAACGATGGACGGATTTATTCAGAGCGAGAAGAGAACACCATCGGGGGCGATAGACTACCATCAGTCACTCGAGAGCCAGGTTAGTGCCCCTGATCAAAATGTCGATCGCTCCATTCCCGATTCAAGGTGTGTCATGACGACACCTCTGGAGGCGGAGACCTTGGCGTCAGCAGACTCCTTCTCTTTTAGGTGATGATCGATTCTCTGCAGACGGCTTGTTTCCTCCTGTCGATTTGCCATACCGTCCTCGTAACATTTGACTGGTTTCTCGACCGTGATCTGGCGCAATTCCTCCAGTCGGCCGAGATGCTGAAGCCCACGATTCCGAAAACGACCACCACGAACATGCTCGACGACGAGATTAGCGGTGAGTCCGTTGACACCTTCCCCGATTCGATACTTCTGGCTATCTGCGAAGTCTTCAGAACAGGGTGACCCGTGCTCTGTGCATTGCAGACTACTTCCCGCACGTCGTTTTCGTCAAGAACCGGAGCGAATTCGTGAGCCTGAAAGACAACCGTATCATGGCGGCCGAGCTCGAGCGAGTGTTCAAAGTGAGTTCCCTCCCAACAATCATCGTCCCGAATCGAGACTCTGGGCCCGCTCCGAGACGCTTGAAATTAGTATTTCTCGGATGGACGAAAACTCAAGGAATTGAACAACCGAGAAATTCGGATTCGCGATCTTTATCGAGCGACTCCTTGATCGATTTCAGGATTCGTTGCTGTTGTTTCGCGATGGAGTGACGAATAGTCTCGGAAAGCCAGTTGCCGACGAAGCTGTCAACATCTTCCAAATGCCCCTGAAGAGCGATCCACTGTACGAGACCGTCTGCCGCGATCTGCTGGCCAAGGTAGGGTTCTGGCCACGAGCCGTCTCTCGAGAATGAATTGCACATTCGCATCTTACCCTCAATCGGTGACCCAGGATGAAAATCCTTGAAGTCTATTCGCCTACGAGCAAGTGTTTTTCGAGTAAGCAGATCAATTCATGTTCAGGTACTGAGCATGCCGCAGGAAGAGTTCGTCCTGAATCCTCCTAGAGCCTTCAGTGAACGGCAATGGTTCCAACATTCAGCGAAGATATGGGATATCATCAAGAAATCATCGATGTTCCAGGAGTACAAGCGGCTTCTCGTGTGAGCGACTGAAAGTACTGATACGAACTTCCTGAGTCGAAGGCATGCAGAGATGCTCGATGGCGAGATCCCGTCTGGCGGGATATCCCAACTTAAGCAAAAGGCGGCGACTCAAGCCCGATCCTAGGGTATACATCCAGAGCCCCTTGAGGTCGAAACCCACCGGCGGTAGTCGAGTCACCGAATAATTAGAGCAAGTGCTCCGTAAGATCACCATAACCACGGGTGATGTTCTTACTGCTGGTGCCCGAGTCGTCGCCCACATCCATCCAGCGCATACGCTAAACTCCCAGAGCACTGGTCGAGCACTGGCCCAGTTGCTTCGAGATGCTTTTAAGGCGTAAGGGCTGCTCGAATCGATTGCCGCTGGGATGTGGGTTTACAACAATTCAACAGGAGAATAATAAACTTTGATAACAGGATGAGAGGAGGAGAAGGACAATGCTTTTTCCCTCGAGCGAAAAATCGCTGTCCTCGCCTCCACCACCACCGCATCTGCCGTCGCTCTGCTGATCGTCTCTGCCAGGCTGTCCTGCCACGCAGCCCAGCTGCCACCGTGAGTCGTCAGACCACGGAACGAAGGTGTTGAAATCTGTCGATTGGTCATTCAAACATTTAATCAATCAATCTATCGATATCTTCTGCGTACTTCCACATGCGATATGCATCGATCGGCAATTTCGCAGACTTCCAGTTTCGAAATCGGATGAGTGTTCGTCGAGCCGTTGTCGTGGAGCCCGCACTTCGATCGCCGGCTTCTCCGCGACTCAGCTCACGAGCGAACGAATGCCGCTCGTCTCGATTCGAATCCATCTGAGAAGTCTGCGAACGAATCTGGAGAGCGATGTGCGGAGAGCGATCATCCGAGGAACCTCGGTCAATTAGACTCAGAGGTCGGTTTTAGAAAGAGAGTCTAGCGGCCCCAATCTGGCAGAAACATGTTCGTGTGCGGAGGAGACCCGGACGGTATCATAGCGTAGCGGAAAAAGGAACCGACCGGGGGACGATATCGACAACCAACTTGAACACCGACAGAAGTGAGCGGTACAATCGGAAATCGAAGGGAAAAGAGATCGACTAGGCAAGAGTGATCGACCAGTCAGTCGATTGTTTCCTCCGCCTGTCTATCCGTCTCTTTGTCTGTCTGTCTATCTATCTATCTGTCATTTGAAAGGAAAGCTACCTATATGTTACTCGGATCGTGGGAAAGGGGCTGATTGCCGAGTCATGTGACCGTATCCCAGTTAGACCCTCGATGTCGTCGACGAAACTATCGATTAACCAGAAAACAACCCTGTCAGAACTCTGGTTTCTAATCCATTGGAACTTCACTGACTCTGAACTATTTGGAAAGAAAAAAAAAGCTAATAAACATCATTTCTGATAAATATCCACTGCAATCATGAGTCGAGTTTATTTACGGAGCTCGGGATTGTGACTCTTCATTCCTGTATTCTTCCGGGGATATCGGGGTTCCCGATGGAATTCTTCTTATCTCGAATGACGTCGGGCCGAATGACGAGGATCGCAGCTCTTGTAGATCGTCGAGAAATCGGCTGGTGAACAAGAAGCGGGGAACGCGCATTTCCCGAGAGGAGCTTAGATCGACGTTTGCCTTTCCAAGATCCCGATCCCCGGGAGATACCAGAAGGGATGGATCGAGGAGCAGAATATAATCTAACAGGAATTCCTGGAGCTTCCGGCATGATGACGTCGAGCTCTTGAGAGCAGGCGATGTACAAACAGCGGGGAAGGGTCACAAGGGGGTCTGTACACGGATTCCGCCACCTGATTGGTGCTCGAGGCCGTTTCCACGAACGCAGAGGCACTTGCCTATGCGAAATGTGAAGTAGAATTTGCGACGAATACAACCGCGGTGTTTTTACGCGGGCGAAGACGGTTCCGAAACTTTCGGAACTTTTCTATATCTTGTGTAAATGTTAGATAGTTGATTGCTCAATCGATCGATGAAAATTTCAAAAACTCGAGGGGGAAAATGCCGAATACGGACAGAATGATTAGAATGCATGGGAGTCGCCAGCTCGAAACTGCGATGATGCCACGCTGACGGATTCCGACTTGTGCTTGGGATATCAGCTTTTCACTTGAGACGCCATCTCACTTCTTCTTCTTGGGAGCGTGCTCGAGACCTCGAACATAAACCCGCGGCAGCTTATACGTATCTGTGGAGAGGGATCCAAGTTTCAGCGACAACATCAGATTCGATTTCGCGCCCCCTTACTGGGAAGCGATTCCCGGAAAACTGGTGTAGAGCCGGGCGGGAACGTTCGGCGAGGCTCACCGAAGAGAAGTTTAGCGACGAAATTCACTTGATTCCCTTGGACCAGAACTTGTTGAAATCCTTTATTGCTGTTCGGCAAGGGGTTGACCGTGGTCGACGCCGACACTCCGACCTGAACTTGGTGTGCAAACGCGCTGGGATCGATCCCGAACGTTTCGAAACCGTGAATCAGCGTGACCTGCGGGAGAATCCCAGCATGGAGAGAGCTTCCGGCAAACAGGACATGCGGACATCGGACAAGATATATTGTGAATGAAAACGGACCTTCTTATTTCCGCATCTAGTCGCCACAGAAATGGAGATCGGTTCTAGCGCTCCTTTCCTCAGAATCGGTTCTCTATTCGAGAAACGGAGCTCGAACGCAGATGTGAATTTGGACAGGACTCTGGAACCGATAATACGTGAACTAGCTGGAGAAAATTAGGGTCAGGAATCGACTCCCAGTCAACGAACCGGGTTGCCCATTCCTCGGAAGAATGTGTTTCGCACCAAACGGATCGCATAAGGAATCGAGGACCCACCTTCGGTTCAATGTCTCCCAGGTAACTTGGCTGTCATACTCGTTTCTTGTCAGGACTATGTGCGCGAGCACGGGTTCCAATTGGACGATTCTGTGGAGCATGACACAGTCTTTGATCAGAGACGCGGAGTGAAGGCAATAGTATGAGAATACGACTCCTCATCCGTTACTTTTCTCCGCATCTGCATATCATATAAAAAGTTGACTTCGAAAGAGGGATTTGGAGATTGTACGAACCTTTTGTCTTCGGTTTGGAGGCCGTTGTCGATGACATATTGCTTGACTTGGGCTCGTATTTCCTCCAACGATATGGGGCTGCCTCTCCTGAAGGAACAGAACGGGAGTCAGATTCTTCTGCTCTGGAGTACGTGAATACAGACAGTGAATTTCAAAAACAAAAAGCGAGGGCTGGGGGCTATGATGCTGCGCGCTCCCTCCATGCGGCCGTGCGTCTCGGTAATCCGCGAAAGAGCGACTTCCGGATACGGAAGCGGAGCGTCTCTATTCCGCCAAGCGAGTAAATCCTTGGGCGCCTGTTGTACTCTGGGAACCGGAGCGTCCCACACGATCCAGACAAGTGAAGGGGAAAATGGAATGAGCGTCAGGCAAGCGATCGGTCGAGTAGTGGTTCGACGACAGAGCTTGGTGACTATATGGACGAAATCTCCATCATGCTCTACAGAGGTCAGAGCTTCGTCGACGAGGTCCGGCGAGTTTCCCGTCGACGTTCTCCTACGTCAATTCGTAGGCGAACTCTTTAGCCAACGATAGCCCAACGCCCGGCGTGGAGAATTTCGGTCGCAATCCTTCAAGCACTGCGGCTCATTGCGCTCGTCCACGCAACTAGAAGAGCTCGACGGACACGAGGCTTGCGGTAAACGGTGCACACTTGTCAAAAATTTCACGCGGGGAGTCCCCGGCGGATACGAATGAGAGCACGATGGGAAATTTTCCTCCTGTTGAGATGCAGACGGGAGCCACATTCTAGTCCAGGGAACAGAGTTCAGCTTCGCGGCATGAAGAAGGACTGCATTCATCGCTCACGCTGGAGCAATCCACTGAAGGAGAATCGACGTTCAGATGATGACGGCTCCGTGCTCCGTTCCTATCGACGTGATCCCCCGAAGGAGAGAAACGAAAGCGCTCGGTGAGCAGCTGATTCCCGCGGGTTTGTGCCACCCTGCTTTCGAAACGCTGATTGATTTCTGAGCAAATTCGACAAGTCAACAAGGGCTCTACGTGACACCGTCGCAAGGTTTCGGGAAGCTGAACGAAAAGTGGTCTCTGCAACACTCTCCGCGCAACCATGGGAAGACCGTCCGCAAGCATGAAACAGAATCTTCGAATGATCTTCTATACTCACGCGTATCCTTTGAGTAGCGGAAGAACTTCGGCCGTCACTAGGAACACTTGTCGAATCTCCGGCATCTGATAGGAGAAGTTGTCCTCCCTCTCGGTCAAGGTATCCCTGACCTTCGGGAAGAACTCCGGTCTGACCTAAAAGAGCGCATTTGTGAAGACGAAGCTTTCGAATCGACCGCGATCCCGCATCATCGAGGCGGAGAGTTTTCGAAGAATGAGACTCACCTTGAAAACGGGGAGGTTGTCCAACTTGATCTCGGTGATGTGCTCGACGCCTTTCTTCTCTGCCTTGATGTCGATATAGCCTAGAGATTTCATTTCCGACAGGAACGTCGAAACCTTCTTGAAAGAGCTCTTTTTGACTTCGAGCACCTGCGTTGGACAGGACTCCGTTTGAGGACTTGGTCTGATCAACGCGCTCAAGATGTGATCAGGGCTCGGGGAGGGAGGGGTATCACATGTCCGATATGCTCACCTGGCCCTCAGGAGCACACGCTTGCACGTATTTCGAATAGAAAATATTGCTCAGCATAGGTAATTGGATTTGCTTGTGCGAAGTTTTTATAGCGGAAAGGAAACACTCCTTCAGAAGATCGTCCATTTTCTCTTGTGCACTCCGTGGATCGTCTTCCTCGACATTCATTTCTCTGACAGCTTTCTCCAACTCGGCTGCTTCCTCTTCCGTTAGAGGCGTCTCTTCTGGCTACGGAGTGAAAGACCGGCAACGGAAATCAGCCATGGGGTGATCTATTCCATGCGTCGGGAAATCTAGCTTAATCTGAGCTCAGTTTTTCCAGGTCCCTCTTTTGAAGCTACTGAATGATTACTTACCCGTTCCGAATTCTCAACCGGCTCTTCTTCGCTCGCCTGATTGTCCGAGCTGTCCTCGTCCTGGTCGTTCCGATTGAACTCGATTTCCTTCTTCGAGCCCATCTCCCAGAGGTGGTCCCCATACAATTGTAACACTTGGACAGCTTTCCCCAACTTCTTCGAAACAATCTCCGACCCATCCATCAGCATGATTCCGACTCCCACAGCTTGGGCGCAGCTGACGACTCGAATTTGCACGTGCTGTCCTACCTGTTATATTTTGAGTTTCTTCAATGCAGATCTTAGACGAGCATCGTACCTCGGCGCGGAACCTATTCGGCGGGTCTATCTCCTGCGACTAGATACCTTAAGCTGGAGATATGCGGCTTCATTCTCTTCGCGGATCACGATCCCAGGTGCCATCAAGTCGGCACCGTTTGCGAGTTTCCGGATCACAGCACCCCACGTCAAGACCGCGGGCAGAGCGTCAGGAGCAGTCCACACCCCGTAGATTGTCAAAAACCATTTTGTTCTCGACTCGTAGGCGACAGGCTCTCCATCGATCGAATATATCTGTTCGAGGAGGAAATACTCATACACTTATCTTCCAAACACCTGCACGGCATACGATCAGCATGCGACGGGAAGATCTTGGAGGGTTTCGATCTTGAGTCGGCCGACAGATGTGCCCCCACCAGCCATCAGCCCGATAGCCCATTAGCCCGATAGCCCATTAGCCCGATAGCCCATTAGCCCGATAGCCCATTAGCCCGATAGCCTATTAGCCCGATAGCCCATTAGCCCGACAGGAGAATCCTACCACCCCACATCAGAAGCTCGGAGTCTGACTCTATGCAGTTTTCCCCCCCCCTCCCCAGTATGGCATGTGACCAACTTCTGTTCGTGGCGAACAATCATTATCTGAGTGATTACAGCTGGTATGCCCCCATGAGTCTCATTCTTGAAGGAACGATCTCGTGGTGGATCATCGCATTTTCTGCTGTAAGATACCAGATGTTGGGATGTCGAGGGGGCCCAACCGAGAATTCGACGTTGGCTCGTCGAAACAACTCCGTGCTCATATGCCGCATATGCGTACAGACTAAAGTATTACCGCGAAGCTTTCCGCGCACTTTCACGCCGGAGCCGACACTCATCCACGGTGACACTACTTGAGAGAGAGCGATCGAATCCAATAGTCGGGCTCGCGAGGATCGGGCCCGTGATCGGCCGACAAAAGTACCTAGTTCCCCACTCACCTGGATAATCTCCCCATTATGACACACGGCTTTCGCTTGGGACACCTGGTCTTTCTTTGACGTCATAGGGAAAGCGGACGCTTCCAACATTTTGGGGAAACATCTCTCGAGAGCGTTCCGAAACGTTTTCCTGAAAGGTATTCCACCAAATCCTACTTGTGATATAATTTCAGGAGATCGAAAGGAACTGCGAAGAGTGGGTAATCTCCTGGATTCCATGGTAACTTATAGGCGTCATCACGGGAAATTTCTGCCAACGAGAATGCCGTTTGTTCTGGAACGTTTCGCTCTGGTGAATCTACAAGTTTCAGAGGAGCTCCCCCTTCCAGAGGCTCGGGCGATCTTGGGGCCCAGGTGCGGCGACGAGGAAAACATAGACTGCACGGCTATCATCAGGAAAGTGTCTCTGACCGAACATCCCCTTTATAGGATAATTTCACCGGAGCTAGAAGTCTTACCTGTCGGATCCCTTGAGTTGAGAATTGGTTTTGATCTTGAATGGTTTGAGAAACATCGTCCTTCGGCAACAGATGGAGCAAACCTTACACGCACAGTGAATCCTCCAAGGTCCTCCACGCGACGTAAGTTCTCTATTGGGTGAAACGGATTCGACCTCTTGGAAAATCGTCACTCGAATTGTTCTGCAGCCGAAACGTTCGGGGTAGCCTGACAAAAAATCGAATTTCCGCAGTGAGACTGAGACTGCCAAGACGCAGGCCTGTCCAGACAACTAATGTTCGAATTTTCGAAAAAGCCCGCCACAGATTCTCTGAGTGAGGGTCCGACGAAGGTACCTCCAGAGACCTCGAGCAGAGCATCCGTGACGATTTGGTGTCTGAATGCAGCTGTGGCTTATAAAAGTCGGGAATCGGGCCGATCGGTCTATACCGCTCTCGTTAATAATCCGATAAAGTTCCGCCTGCCACGCGATCGAATAATCGTCTCCAGAGCGAACTTGCGCGCACACTCGTCTGCTCGAGTGCCAGGTTGAGAGAGTGGACAGCATTTCGTAAATAAGACCATGGCAGACAGGTGTTGTTTCGATGAAGAGGGAGACATCGACTCCAGGCGGTGAAGTTCCAGCTGGCATTATGTGAACCGGAGAGATGGATGATTTGTGACGTAATTTGATCGCTGGAAACCGAGCAAGCAAAAAAAAACGGCACCATGAGACGAGCGAAGATGATGATAAAGCCGAAGCTGGGCCCTTCGGTTAAGCAGAGCAATCCCCAGCAAACGCAACCGCAGATTCCGAAGACTCCAGACAGTAAGTGTTCTCGAAGAACGGAAGCTCCTCGAGACGGGGTACCGAGTTGAGTGTCGGGTCCCGACGGAGCTTGAGGGCCCCGGGATAGGTCTCAACGTCGAACACAAATTCAGAGATGCTCCCGGCATCACCGGAGCACGTGCTTTTAGATCGAATGCGTTAGCTCCATAATCTTTCTCCCCGAGGCTTTCTCAATTTTCTTGAGCATGCATCCGGTCAGTTTCTCGGACTGGTTCCAATTCACAGAAAACCCCTTACTTCAGTGCTGTTCAGGGCTCCAACAAGTTTTCATGGAGTATACGAAACGGTGGAAATGATGTCGATGTTTCCCCCTAGGTGGGGATCAGGTTAAAGCTCCCGCGGGAAATGATTCCATGCCGCCACCACCAGATCCTGCTCGAAGAGGAGAATTTGAAGATCCACCCCCGCCAAGACGAATCAGGACACCATCTCCAGCCGAGGATGCGGAAGAAAGTCGGGGATTCAGGAATCCGACGAACGTCGTTCAAGAGCCCCCATCAGCCAAAGAATTGGTGGTGAGCCTGCCGGTGTGTCAAGATGCGACGGACAGTAGCCCCAAGACAGCAAATACGAACCTCGAGGTCGAGGTGGCAGCTCCGCTCCAAGCTCGACGTGAGCGGAGAGCATCAAAAAAAGCGGACGAGTTCCGGGAAATGCTAATGGCTTCACGGCGACGGTTCGGGAAGGTCCGGGAGCCGATCGACACATCGAAATTGACTATGTTAGACCTAATTTATTACAATCCTCCCGGGGCTCCGATGAAAAGAAAAGCGTCCGAGGTGAGTAGAAAGCCTCTCGAACAGTAGACGGACCACAAGACTCAGTATACTGATGACTGATAATGGATACCATTATACCGTGGTGAATGTACGGATAGCATCGTTCCGACGAGCTGAAAAGTTGTCGTTGTTGTCGTCCTCAGCAGGAGAAGCTCGTGGAGAGATTGGAGGAGCAGTCCCTGGAGCCGGAACTAGAAGAAGAATCCAGCACGACGGACTCTACCAATGATACGAAGGGCCCCGCGGAGGACGAAGTCATGGGTCCCCGTGTCGTTGTGGGTCCGGATGGTGAAATCCAGATCGACGAGACATCTTTGGTGATTCGACGGCCGAATCCGGTGGAGAGTAAACATAAATTGAAGGTAAATCTCTCGTGACTGCTCTATTACACCAGGAGTGGACTCGGGTTCTAATGCACATTCATCTACAACGAAGCGGATGGTAATACATGTGCACACCTTCTCTCAAATGTGACCGCTGAGGCTAGTTTATGTACATGTCTATTTGACCGCTGACATTACGAGGAGATGTATTGAGTCACATTCGCGAATCCCCCGCTTGTCCTCAAACTCGAATTGGCATATGCACTCACCTACTTCATCCATTCTGACCTCTTCGAATCCCCTACTTCCGTCCACATCGAAGTTATACGAAAATGAACCCGGAGTTTCGTTTTTGCATTACGAGGAGATGTATTAAGTCACATTCGCGAATCCCCGCTTGTCCTCAAACTCGAATTGGCATATGTACTCACCTACTTCATCCATTCTGACCGCTTCGAATCTCGTATTTCCGTCCACATAGAAGTTATACGAAAATGAACCCGGAGTTTCGTCCTTGCTTTTCCTGGTGTGGGAGTGTACGGAGAGTTCTCTAGCTCGACCTGATTTCGTGCTCGTTCACTCGCATGGACTCCGGGCCAGCGATATAGGTGCACGAGTCTGAATTCTGAGGCCTCTCAGGACTCATCGTTGAAGTACTCATCGTCTTAATCTCCTCCCCTGCCTAATTCAAGGTGACTGTCGAAGAGGCAGGCAAAGCGCGGTACAACTCGTTCAAGACTAAAAAAATGAAGAAGTGCACATGGACTTCAATAGGTGAGGAAGCCCTCTTCACCATTGAGAATTCATATCGTGGAATGGTACTTGCACAGTGTCAAATCTTGATCCAGACTGCTCTCGAAATCACTTCCGCTCTGACATTGCAGAAACATCGAAATTCTATCGTGCGTTGAGTATATGTGGGACAGATTTCACATTGATGACGCAGTTCTTCCCGTCGAGGTCTCGGCAAGATTTGAAGAATAAATTTAAACGTGAAGAGAAATCCAATGCTCCCCTCATCGACAAAGCCATCCGTGAGTTAAGTTTCTCAGCATAATCTTCTCGAGACCACCAGCGTGACGCAAGTCGGGGGAGAAAGCGACTCCCCGGATTCTGATGCAGAGCTCTGAACGGGCATTTTCCTTTCCGTCAGATCACCCTACACAATTCGACTACACTGAGTTTGAAGTGGAAGACATCGCGAAAGACGACGACGAGCCTCAGAAAACCAAGAACTCCAGAGGTGGAGCGCGAGGCTCGCGAAAAAGGAAACCCAGAGCAACAGATTCGCCCGAAAAAGAGCTGGTAGGCATAAGCAATCTGTCGATGAGCAGAAATTTTTCCGCCCCGGCAGGCCCCCGACGTACGGGAAGGCTCGCCTAGCATCTGTCAATCTTAGTGAAATCTAATAACTAATAATCATTTACAGTTGGCGATCACTGAAGGATCCCTCGGCGAAAAACACGATCCGCTCCAAGTGTCGAGGCCGAAGAGGAATCGTGCCAGGGTCGATTACTCCGTGCTGAACGAGAGCTCACATGAGTCGGAGGACGCTCCGAAGCTTCAGACGGAGGAACGAAAGGTGGGACCCCATTCGCGTATCGGACATGATTGTCGAAAATTCCGCGCCGATTTTCAAACCAAGCTTCACGAAGCCCTTTGAAAATGGCTGCGAAAAATCAGACTTGTTAATTCCAAAAAAAAAATACCGGGGTGGTGCATCTACCGCTCAAAGAAGTGCTTGCTTGGCAAGATACGGCAGCCGAGTAGCTCCACGCGATACAGGAGAGTGTGCACAAGGCCCCTAAAATGAATATCCTAGTCCTGCTTATAACAATTATCAAATGAACGTGTTTTCAGAGCAACGAGGCGAATACCGAAGTACCGAAGGTAGCAGAGGAAAGACCGGAACAAACAGTAGAACCTGCACCAGATACAGTCTCAACCGTCGATGCAGTAGCTAGCCGGAAAGCAAGCCCGAAAAAATCCGATGACGAAGGCTCCAAAGTTTTCGAGGTCCCATCAGAAGTCATTGACGAGATGTCTCAAATCACGCGAGGAACTCAACTACAAGGTAAATCTATCGCCTTGTCAGACTCTCTCATCCTGAGCTTGCTGGGCCGCTCGACGCAATACTTACCATCGCAATACCATCGATTCTAGCGTGGAAGGACCAACGATTTTTTTCCTTCCCTTAGAATCAAAGCAAGACCTCACCGAGCCTGAGGCCGAGACGAATCCTACGGTGTTCGAGACACAGAAAGGAACGAGGACTGAATCAAAGCCCCAGAATCCGAAACCCAAAGTTTGTGCACCTGTTTTCAAACCCCGGATTCGAAAAGGTAAGAAATACGATTTTTCCGACTTTTCCGAATTTTACACGAGGCTCTAGGTGCCAGTTTTTCCCAAATTCTGCCTTTTGGTTCCTCAGCTGCCATCCGACCAGAACTCCTGAAGAGAACCAGCGCAAGAAGCTTAGCTGTGACGGCTCCGGTCAGAACGCTTCCGGAGGTAAATAAAACTAGTGCGCCATCGGAGGAACAGAAATCGGAAACGGATTCTCGGACGTGTCCTGGGGGAATGGATGCTCCTCCCACTTCCTCGGACGCTCCCCCTCCGGGAAATCCTTGCCTTGAAGAGCCCTGCCGAAATGTTGAGAGCCCCGCTCCAGCACGCGATCTTCCTGATGCTTCGTCTGAAGCGTTTAAATCGATCAATGTTAGCCCTCAAGCAGCTCGAGAGACATTATCCGAAGCTCAATCGTCGGAGCAGCCGAGCCCGACGAGAGATTCGATCCGCCCTCCAATCACAAGTCCAGCAGAAGCGGAACCCACGTCCAAGGAAGGAGGACCGGGCAGGGATGACTCCGAGGAATCGAAAAAGGCTCTGGCACTTTCGTCGCCGACACCTCAGCCCAAATTGGTTCTTCCGAGGCGACCCATATCGAACAGAATCATCCGTCCGATTGGAGCAGCGAAAACTAGGGGGACGGTTCTGAGTCCGGTTGCGAGAAGGAAGCCCGACGCTATAAGAAAGAACGATTCTTGAGCCACAGAAATCGTTTATCGATTGACTGCCCCAACAGCTTGGTCTTGCGAAGGCACGGGTAGTCGCTCGCGGATTAGTCCGTGAAGGCTCTGCAGCAATTTGTGAACTCGTTACCTGAACGAATGTAGAAATGTGAAAAGAGCGTCATGAGATATAACCAATCCCTTACTAGTGGTCGCCGCGCAGGAGAATGGACAAATCTATTTATTCGAATCTCGCGAACTCGATCTCCGAAAGCTCATTATCCGGTGACAATCTCAATCGAGAACAGTGATAAATGAAGCCATGCGACCCGAATCACTTCGATCTCCGGTGTCAAGGATATGTGTTTAAATTAGGGGGAATTCGATTCATCCAACGCCGGACTTTGTGTACATTTTGACCCGTTACCTGGAACCTAGCGGAATAAAAAGAGACATTTCGAGCTGAAAGCCTGAAAACCCGAGTGCATGATTTAAAAACTCAAAACTCGGACAAGTCTCATCGATTCCGATCGAGTGGCTCCATATCGTCGAGAGCCATGAGATCACCCAGAAATCCGGGGGAGCGTGTAGAATTGCGCCTATGATATTGAGCAACGCTGCACATCATTTTGGCCTCCGACTCCAGCTTTTCGCCGAGGGTTGTGGTGCCGAGAAGAAATCAAGGAGCCGGAATCTATCGTATGGACCCTGAAAAGGAACAGCATTGATGAGGAATCTAGGAACCAAGGATCGCCCATAGTCCTGATCCCAGTAGCTTCGAGATTGAAGGCTTATACAGCGGGATTTGTGATTCGGAGAATAGACTCCACCGGGAGGCCCAGATGGCGCCACCGTGCCCATGAGCTTTCTCAGCGATCCCGGACCGCGCGGGTCGATCACGCGCAGTTCTCGCGGGAGATACTTCCTTCGTTGAGAGAAAGAAGATCACAGTGCGATACACTGTCGGATATTCTAAGTTCTTCAAGAGCACTGCGAACGAACATTCCCTGTGTCTGCGACTTGCTCCGTCAGTCTCTAGCAGGCTCGTCGATCGTTCCTGAGGCTGCGTCGCCGAGGGCTGCCGTGAAATGGGTCCTCTGGAAATCACTTAGCCTCGGAAATGTAACGTTACTCCTCTCTTCGCGCGGCAGAAGCAACTTGACTGAATTAATGCTCAGATGACAAAGGCTCCATCGATTCCGCTCCTCCGTTCGAAAATGAAGAGCTCCGAACTCGTGGGGATTCCCTTTCATTGACATTGCCGCTCGGCATTCCCTTTTCGAGACAGGGTCTTTGAGCGGTTGGATTCAATGCGGTCGAGGACGATCACTAAGCATCGATCTCCTATGGGAAGGAGAAAAGAGGTTCGAGAAATAAGGCAGCCGCCCGGGATCGGTGGACTCCCCATCAATGATCATGGGCATCATTGTATTCACCCTTCCGAAAACAGAGAAAATTTTTGGAAATTCCAGTCCTCAATCATTGTCTCCCGCCTCCCCGGAGGAACGTGATGATACAAATGCGTGCGCAAACTTCAGTGAGCGTATTCACGTACAATGATCACGACTTCCAGTCATGAAGGCGCTCAAGCCGGATTTCAGGTCCAGTGTTTGAAGTCCTTTCTCCAACATGGCGGCCGGCGGCCAATGAGAAGCGCTCCACGAGTCACGTGACCCGCCTGCTGTCCAATGGAAAGAATGAAGGTTTTGAACCGGAGACAGCAGCAGTTCTATCGCCAGTGGGGAGATCTACCACTCGCAACGAAAAGCAGGGGAACTCCGCGGGAAATTCGCGAATAATTCTTTCATAGCAGTGCCCGTAGAAGTAAACCATCATTAGCTCGGCCAGGCTATCATTGTTTCACGCCACGACACTAACGGTAAGTTGAGCAAAATTTCAGGTTTCGCGCGTAGAAGCTCTCCACTCGCCGACGACAAATTTTGCCGCCGATCGGCGCTCGACCGAACGGTTTTCAGTCGAAATCGCGTTCTCACCCTTATGACAACCTTTCAATTCGTCGCCGCGGAGGCTCACGTCGTCAGCGCTAGCGCTGACATGCGACCAGTGCTTCGGAGCTATCGACAAAAACCGATCTCGGCGCGATCCGGTAGAGCGACCGTGTCTGTAGTTCGGAGCCGACGGCAGTGAACCTTCTTGCGGAACCGATCCAATGCCGCAAGAACTGAGCTGCGCGGAAGACCGGCTCGCGGTCTGAGCTCTTGTGCGGGAACGAGCTCGGCGAGCGACTTTGCACGGATGTCAGCTGCGAATGACAACCGACAGGCGACCTACTGGTGAACCTGGAGAGGTTAGGGCTAAGGAAGGAGGCTCTCGAATTCAACTTCGTCCTAGGCTCGACCCGCAGCCATATCCAGGGGCGTGAAAAATCTTTCGGCTCGATCCGGCCAAGAACGTCGAAAGCTCCGTCTTCAATTTCGAGCGCCGAGTGAAGTAGCAGCTGAGAGCGATATAGCGCACGGGAATGATCGGGATGCTCTCTGCTCCTCAAAGAAGAAGATATCGAGGAACCGTTGTGATCGGAGCTGAGTGAGGGGGAGGAAACTTGTGAATTATCAAGAGAGGAAACTTTGTCAGTCGAATCTCGCTGCTGGACAGAGTTTTCTGGCACCGCGCAGTGTTTACATCAGGCGGTCGCGCTCGGCGCAGAACAACGTTCCTTTGAATGACGTTGTCGTGCCGCCCGGTGCAGTCGGAGGCCCAACCTCATCGACTTACTGCAGACTGAGAATCAACTTCTGCTGCTCGCTTATTCAGGACCACGTTCAACAGTTAGTTAGCAGGCCTGGCTATGAGACTTCTGCGGAGCGCTTATTCGAAAATTTCCGGTGGATACTCGCGATCTCAATTAGTCTAAGGCCGTCGATTAGGATCGACATGTTCGTCCCGGGCCTCCCGCACTTGAAAGAGACACTGCGATTCTAGTCGTGAAGATATCATCGGGAAGAAATCAGTGATTTTTCCTTGAATGGGGCGTATTCTCCCGTGGATCTCCGTCCGTGAATAATCACTGAAAACTCGTTCACCGATTCACGAGCGAGTGAGCGATGCTGCCACTGATTTCCGAGCTGGCGCAAACCTTGAAGCCGTTGGTGAATTATTTGGGATCCCCTATCGTTCCCTCAGCGACCTTCTGAAAGCCGGTTAACTCAGCTGTTCAGACCAGCTGTTTCATAAAAAGAAAAAAGTACCTCCTCCCATCTACCATCGCAACTGGCGGATTCTCTCTTTCCGTGATGAAGCCGGCCTTACGACGAGCTTCAAGCTCTGCCACAGCTGATTGTCGGGTTTAAGCTTCGTTCCGGAGAGGATGGCCACGATTTTTTTTCGCTTCAAGTCCGCTGCTCGACGAACGCGCGGCGTGTGGCTGCTTCGGTGGATCTCAGAATTCCGAGTCGGGCTTCAAATCTCAGAATTCTTCTTTCTCCTCGTCTTCACTTCACCTTTGGCATTCGGAATATCCGATGATGAGAACCATGAATTCGACCCCTCATGACTAAAGGTATGAGATCTAGGAAAATGACTCACGATCCCGTGGAAGTCGTTTCTGATGCGAGGGTTTCAGAAGACGAGGAAAATACTAGGTAGTAATGATCACGATCGAATCCAGCTCCCGGACCTGTCGCTCGCTCGTGTCTTCCCTCGAGAGGGGAATTTTCCGATGAGAATGCTCTTCAATTAGAACATCAATGTTCGGTCTTTGACAGAACCCGGTCGTAGACGGACCGAGAAGCTCGGTCATGAATTTGGTTTGAGATGGAGATACAGGGCGTGATGAAGCATTTTTTACCGACTCCGGAAAGCTCGGAAGTCTATGAGACAAGCGAATCATGAACTCGAATTGAGGGGATGTTTATATCGAGTGGGAGCGGACGTACTTGCCGGAGATTTACAACCGGGTCTTTTATTTTCTGGCGAGACTCTGCGCGAGGACTCGGGAGTCGGCCTTTGGGGAACCCCCGTCTCACCTCCAAGCCATTCTGGATTCCACTTCGTGGAATGCCTTACCGGGCTTCGTATCCGCCATCGAATTACGAAGACCGGAATTTCGGAGTGCCACGGAGTGGCATTCATGTCATCGCGAATCGCTCACGTTTCTCGAAGTGAATTCTACACGGGATCACGAGCGGGCTCAGAGCCAGAGGTTTGGCCAGAGTCTACGATGACGATAGCGCGGAAATGTTGAGTCGGTGCCGTTCTGCTCACTCGGTATTCCGAACACACTCACTGGCCGATCGACTGGCTGAGTGGAACGTCAAAACCGGTGACTCATCCCGCTGGAAAGAATCATGGATCTGTACGCCAGGCGATAAGGATGTTGAAACTGACGAATTAATGGCGTAAAGGATGGACCCCTTGTCTGGTGTTGGAACATCCCGATAGCGGACTCGTGACGCGCTGCTGTGCGAACACTACGGTCGGTCGAGCGGTCGGTGCGCCGACTAAGAACAGCCAGTCAGCCCGTCACTCTGCGATTCGTCGTCAAGTCCTGATCCGATCGGGATATCTCAGGGCGACAACCTCTTGTTTTCTGTTGTAGCAGCGGTGGCGAGGCAGAGCAACAGTGCCATTCTTTGTTTTGGATTTTGAATGGCATGCCTAATTTCGTCGACACCGTGTCCAGTCCTCCTTCGCCGTGGACTCGTTGTCGTTCACCCGATTCGACGAACATTTCGGAAGAACTCTGAGTCTGGAGCTCTCCGGAAGCGATATTTCGTCGAAGATCTCGGATTCTCCCGATTGTCTTTCGTACGCGAGAAATTCCGCTTTCTACCTGAGGGGCTTATTGTACGTATCGTCATTCTGGCCGAGTTCCCTCTGATCATTGAGAGACTCGGTCATTCATGTCTTCGCAAAACGAGTGTCTCGTTTTGCTTGACACTTGCCATTTGCCAGCAAGGCTTCGGCTCACGAGACGGGAACAGTTTTAGTGAAAGAGCTCGGAGAGACTTCGTGAGTTGGCGAGCAAACGAACGGGAGGATCGTGAGAGCGACCATATGTTGAACGAACGAAGAATAGAAGAAAAATCCTCCGCTTGTTCTCCGAACCCCAGGAGCTCGAGCCCTACGGGACCATTAGCCGATGTGCAGTCGATCGTACTCGAGATGGCCTACTCGTTTGCGGGCTGCAACAGAAAGAGTACAAGAGGTCGTGCCGACATCGGGGGTGGATGTTCGCCGTGCCGAATTCCGGGAGTCATCCAGAAGTTACAGTGCGAAATAAACGAAAAAAAAATACGGCTTCCGAAACTTTTGCGGATTCCTATTCGATCCGGTAGATGTCAGATGTACGGATGGAGAATAATAACACACACACACGTACAGGTTGTCGATGCCGTGTGTCCGCGTTCGTGTGTTTACAGTATTTCTTCTCTCGTTTAAAATTCGCTACAACTCGAACTGCCGAGGCTGATGGTGGTGTTGGTAGTCGTCGTCGTCGTCCGAAATTCACTGAATCGGTTCGGTTCCTCAGGCTCGAAGGTCGCTTGCCGGCGCCGTTGTGCTCAGCACTAAGGTGATCCTATCCACGAAGAACGCTCTGGTCGAACCCCGAAGGAGCCTCTTTCGAGGGTTGGCTGGCAGGCTGGCTGGCCGTGCGACGGACCGACCGGGAGGGAGGGGGAAGGTGGGGAGGTAGCTGACGAACTGCCGAGCGACCTACCTACCTAGCGGCCCTGTACCTGAGCGAGAGGAGGTGGTAGTGGTGGCTATGGCGGCGGCGGCGGTAATGGCGACGACTCTAGAAGCTTAGCGAAGGATGCTGGGTGGATGGGTCTGCTCCCTGGCTCAGCCAGTCAGTTAGGGGTTCGGGGTTTCATTCGTTAGCTGGTCGGTCGGTCGGTTGCTTCCTCCGTTCGTTCGCTCTCTCGTTCATTCGGTCGGTCGGTCGGTCGAGCGACGGTCAAGCAAGCAGCATGCCGTGAGTGAGCGAGCCAGCCAGTCAGTCCATCAAGCGGCGAGGGTGGTTGTCGCCGGCATGGTCCTGTCACTGAAACAGCAGCTTCGGGACGGACCCACTGACAGAACGACGAACGAACGAGTGAATTCGACCGTTCGATAATTCATACGCTCCCCATCCTATCTCTTTGAGCAGCTATCAGCACCGCTTATTGATACAGACTGTTGTGAATCGATACGAGTTAAGGCATTCCACTGTGATTCCACTCATTCGAATCCTTTCCCGCTCGGCGAATGGGGAAGACCGAACGATATTCGGATATTCAAGCAGGAGGTCCTCAAGCGACTTCCATCGACTGTTATTTCTCTCGCGTTTCCGAAGGAATGGGAATCATGTTGATTGAGGCGCGTCGCATGTTTCTCCATAAGGGGAGAAGATCCCCGATACTTTTGTACTCGACGATTCTCCCGGGCGATGTTTCCCGGGGGCACGGATTCCCGTCACGCAACCTGTCACGATGAGTAGTCACACGGAAATCCGAAGGACGAGCATTACATAATACCCGGTCCCCGATATCCCTGATCCCCGAAGACGGTATAAGCGCTGTGTGGACACAAAGGCGGACCATTCGCGTGTCTCGCAAAAGCTCGTAAACGTTTCTGGATCTTCCCCCATCGTCTGGTGGTAAACCCATGTGTTTTGAGAGGTCACAGGGGAGGGGTATAGGGAACAGGGCTTCTCAGTGAAGAATGGCAGAAACGGGAGAGTGCATAATTAGAGATTTGACTCAGTGCAATCCTAGCGGCTTCGGTGGTGGCAGTAGAAGAAGCAACGGGATTTGATGTTGGAGCGCCCTCTACGCCGGCTCGAATTGGTCGTCTGCCTCCTCCTTTTTTCCTCCTTGTTCTCTTTTTCGTGCTCGTCCCCCGTTGTCCTCCTCCTCCTCCTCAACACCGGGTGGG